GGCGCGAAGCGCCGCCACTGCCTGTGGCGCCAGCCGCCGCCGCCGGCCCGCCAGCGGCCCTGCGTCCGCACCCGCGCTCTCCTCCGGACTCTCCGCCACCCACTCAACCAGGAGACCCCGGCGCCGCAGTTTGATCGGCAGTACGGCTTCAACCCGCTGACTCAGGCCGGCGCCGCGGCAGCGCTCCAGTCGTACCTCCCGGAGCGGCGCCGCCGCCGGCAGCGCCGCCAGCGCGGCACGCGCCGCCCTCGGCGTCACCCTCAGCGCCCTCCGCAGCGTGAGGCAGCTCAGCCGGGGCAGTCCGGGGGCGGACAACTCCAGGGAGCCCAGCACGTCCCAATCGCAGTACGCGGCGTCCACCACGAGGACCTGAGTTTTAGGGTTTTACGGTTTTACAAGCGGACAGGGGAAGACGAAATAACAAAATCCATATGAGAAACCGCGAAATCCCAACAAACGCAAACTTAGGGTTTTTAAATTTAAACTAATTCAATGAGCAGATGGATTCGGTTTTAACAAACAGGAGCCACATGTGGCCGAGGGAGATATGTGCGCCAGCGCATGCACCGGAGAACCGCTAAGCATCTGCTGCTGCTCTCATGACCTTCGTCATTAAGTCCAAAAACCTCCGAACAAACCCAACCTAACGAACCAACCAACCAACCATCAACTAACTAATGAGCTACCTCCAGTTTCGTAAGTCCGTTGAAGAGGCGAGGTGCCCAGCCCAGCCGGCGGTGGGGTACGCTGTACCCCGGCACGCAAGTGAGCGTGAGGCGGGTGAGGGCGGGCAAGTGCCGTACAGATTGCTGCAAAGTACGGGTCGTACCGGCCAATGTACGGAAGCGGAATAGGTGCAGCTCCTGCGGATGCGGATCAATCAATGGTGCAAATGTGTGTGTGTGTGGGGGGGGGGGGAGGGGAGGAAAGACGAACCACGAACGATTAATGTGTGTATGTGTGGGGGGGGAAGGGGAGGCAAAGTTGGACGGGATGTGGGCTGGGAGGGATTCGGGCCCGCGAGGTGTGGAAATGATGCAGCTTGCAGAAGGTGAGTGGGAATAGAAGGCGGTGGTCAGAGTAGTAGTAGGCGCTGATGTTGCGCTGCCGTACTGCCGTACTGCGGGCTCTCCGCGCACAGCCACGGGGCAATGCGTGTTTAGTTCCCGATTTTGCCCCCCCCGGCGGGGGGGGGGTCGGGGGAGGGGGAGCGCCGTTGTGCTGCTTTTACTATTTTTTTAAAAAAGAGAACGGTTAGAATCTGGTCTAAAAATAAGAAGCTGGGTTTCACCTTAACAACTACAAAATTGAGTGCACAGCCCCTAACTTGCACAGCATGCCACCGGCGACAGCAGCCCCTTGGACCTAAATCATGACCCTGACCTGCTGACATACATACACACACGTACACACCCTTTTCCTCAAGTCAACCTTACCTACATCCATCCGTACAAGTCCCGTACTACATCCGTACCGTACCTGAACACTGCTCAGTTGTGACAGCACGCGCAGGTTGGCCGCCACCACGGCCCCTTCTCCGGTGCCGTACTGGCTGTACGGCACCAGCGTCAGGCGCGTAAGGCCTTCCAGGCCGGCTGCAGCGACGGCCATATCGGTGGCGGCGGGCCAGTCGCGGCACGTCAAGTCCACAACACGAGGAAAACTCGTGTGGACGGGCCTGTGTATGTATGTACGTATGTATGTATGCGCGGTGGGATGTTCGCGTGTGTGTGTAGGGGGAGGGAGAAGAGCGGGGATGAAAGGTTAGGGGCGTGGGAATTGCTCACATTCAACGAGCAAATGTCACTTGAACTGCCGCCTGGGGTTGTGAAACTGCATGATATTGATAACCAGTACACGCACACACGCACATACACATCACCCACACGCAAGATGTCGTACACACGTGCCTCTGACGACGTTCGTCGGGGTTTTCGATCCCACAGCGGCCATCATCCCGCCCCTTCGTGTCGCCCTCTTCGCCCATCCCCCCCCGCCCCCACAACCCTTCCCCGTACACCCGCCTTGTACAGGGCGGGGAGGGGGGGCGGGTTCCATGCTGTTGTTACAGGGTGGTGGTACAGCTTCACCAGCGGCCCCCCTTCCCTTGGAGGCAGTTCCCTGCTCTCCCCTGTGCAAGCGGGGCACCCTAATCCGCTCACCCCATCCGACTTCAGAATGTATTCGTTGGGTTCAGCAACTCACCACCAGCATCCAACCAAATCTAGCGGATCAACGGCGCCTCAACTTAGTTCCTGGTCAGCTCGCAAGCTGCTGTTATCACGTCCTACACCGTCCATAAGATGGAGGACCACCTCCCATTTCAACACCCCTCACACATTGAGAGGTCGGCAGGTGGACTTGAACCCGGGACCTCCGGGAGCAGAAGTCCTAAGGCCTTAACCTCTGTGTCAACCAGCCTGCCATGTGTTCCCCATACTTCCCCCCCCTTCCCCCCCCTCCCCCCCCTCCCCCCCAACCTGCTTCCGTGCTTGAACCGGAACACCGACAGAGAGGTCAGCCCAGCGGGGGCACTCGCCGCGAACAGCAGCGGCGCCGTCAGGTCCATGTGCGCCGCCGCCAGGCCACGGAGACCCGCCAGGCCGCGAGCAGCAGCCGGGAGGAGGAGGATCGGTGTTTGCGGGGGTTGCGAGGTGGGTATGCGGGGTGCTGTGGCTCCGAAGAGTGCGTCCATATGTCCGTCTGTGATGTAGTGGTGGAGCCACAGCCCCAGGTGCGTGAGGCCGGGTACACAGCGGGGCAGCTGACTGCAGGCGGCGCGGCTCAGGGACAGATCGCCCTGGGGCACCGGGTGGTGTGGAGGGTGTGTGTGTGTGTGGAGGCGTGTGTGTGTGGAGTGCGTGTGTGTGTGTGGAGGGCGTGTGTGTGTGTGTGTGTGTGTGGAGGCACACCGGGGTGTGGAGCGGGAGCTTGACCTCCAACAGGAATCGAGAGGATATGGTGGAGGAGTGGACGAGGAAGTGAAGGGGGAAGTGGTGGAAGGGGGAACCCCAAGCTAACACACACACACACACAAACCCTTCTTACCGACAACAGCAAGTGTCGCAGCCTGGGTAGCGCACCCGCTCTTTCCAGTTCCCGCCAAAACGACACAGACAGGTCCAGGAAGGGGCTGGAGGAGGACGAAGGACTGCCGCCGCCGGCGCCAGCAACCTGCTCCGAAACCACCCGATGTACGTCCCCTCTCCCTCCGATTCCGTGTGGAGGATTTCTTTCATTCGTACTGTTGCTGTTGTTGACTGTTCTGCTGCTGCTGCTGCTACTGCCGTACAGCTCAAGTCGCTCTAGGTGGGACCCCAGGGCTTTTGAGGACGGGGGGAGGGGGAAGAGGTGGCACGTGACATGTCAGGGAGCTCAGTGTACGACAACACCCCGGGAATCCACTGAACCGAACGACCCACCGCACTGTGAACTCCCAAAACACACACACACACACACACTTGTTTCGCTCCTTCTGCGCTCTTCTCCATTTCCTCTACCCGGCTACCCGGCTACTCACCCCCCAGTGCCGCCGCCAGCTCCCGGACTTCAAGGACAGCTGAGCATGATCCGGTTCCGGCTGCCGCCGCCGCCGCCGCCGCCGAGCTGCCACCACCTGTATTCACTCCCCCTCCCCTTCCCCCTCCCCCCCCTCCCGCTACTTTGAATACCGTGGGATCCAATCGCAGCTCCAAATGCCGTACCCGCCAGCGGGACTCCTGCAGTACGGGGCCCAATGACGTCAACGCCGCCACGTCAGCACGGCCGCCCACCAGCCAGCCGCCGGGGCCCGCCAGGGTGAGCATCAGAACGGGGCGGGGTGAGAAGGACCTGGACAGGGGTGGGGCCGCTGCGGGAATGTGGGCGGGGCTGGTGGCGGCTACGGGATGGCTCAGGGCGGCCAGCTTGGTGGCAGTTGAGGCTCCGGACGTTGCCGTCACGGTGGCTAAGGGTACGGCGGCGGCGGCGGCGGCGGCGGCAGCGGCGGCGGCGAGATCAGATGAGCACGCGGCGGATGGTCGCGGCGGCGGGGATGCGGATGCGAGTGCGAGGGGGGGCCGATGAACAGCAGGTGTACGGCACGCAGGCGCTACATCTGTCGTACGGCGGAGAGCTGCTGTGGATTGTGCGCGGCCGCCGGAGCCGCCGCCAGTGCATGTTGGCGGCGGCGGAAGCTGTGCCAACGGCGCCGACGGCGGCTGTGACAGCGATCCACAAGTAAAACTGCCGCCACGCGATAGTGGCGACGGCGGCGGCGGCGCCGCCGCTGCTGCCGCCGCTGCCGCGGTGGCTCCCACTATCTCGGCTGTGAGCGCGCTTGAGAGGTGCGATGAGCTCACTACCTCCTTGGTGCTGCTGCCCCCCTCATTCTCCCCCTCCCCCCGCTGCCCCTGCCCCTCCTCCTCCTCCTCCCTCTTCCCCTCCTCCTCCGGGTGCCCCTCACCACCGCCATCAAAAGACATCCCCGCAGGAGACTGCACCTCCTGCTGCTGCTGCTGCTGCGGCGGCGGCGACGGCGGCGACGGCGGCGACGGCGGCGACGGCGGCTTTGGAAGCAGGCACTGCAGCAGCGGCTCAGTTGGCTGATGGGGCCATAGCCCAGCGGGCAGGAGGCACACGCTGTCGATTACCAGCTCCAGGGGTGGCGGGGGGGGGTCGGCAGGCAGGGCGTGGCCACGGCAGCCGGAGTGACGGCAGCCCCCCGGCTTCGTGGTTTGCGATAAGGGTCTCGGCACCGCCGCCGCCGGACCGTCCGCGCCGACAACACGTCCAAAATAGTCGCCTCCGCCGCCACCGCCGCCGCCGCAGCAGCAGCGGCTGAACCCCCCTGTACTAAAACTGGATTGTCCCTCAGTGTCGTACGACGGGGTGGTATATGCGGTGTGGACGTCGGTGATGATGTCGGCGCCGCCGCCGGCGGCGCAACCCCTAGCTCTCATACCTAAAGTCGGTGGCGGAGGTCCAATCCAGAAACTGCCCGCCGCGGTCCCCAGGCGACTCCCCGGCCCGCCGCCGCCGCCGCCAATCCCGCCGCTTTCATTGCCGCCACCACCGTCGCCGGAAGCAGACGCCGACGCGGCGGCACCGCCGCCGCAGCCGCCGCCGTCGCCAAGCAATCCATTTCCGTCGCTGCTTGACGAGGGTGACCTGGCGGTGCCGGTGTTGGAGTTATCGGTGGCGCAGCTGGTCGAGGTGGTGTTCACGTACATGAAGATGGAGGTGGGGCTTCCTGGGGCCTGGCTCCGAGACCACTTGTCCTCCCATGTCCAGATATTGTTGCATTCCGCATCCGACAGCTGCTGCGGCGGTTGCGGTTGCGGTTGCGGTTGCGGCGGCGGCGGCGGCGGTTGCGGTTGCGGCGGCGGCGGCGGCGGTTGCGGTTGCGGCGGCGGCGGCGGCGGTTGCGATTGCTGCAGTGACGGCGATGGCTGTCTCTGCAGTTGTGGCCGCTGTGAAGTTAGGTGCTCCGGCTGCTGCTGCTGATTGGGCAGCGGAAAGTGAAGGTCCTGTTCGACAAGAACATCGGCGGCGCCGTCAAGGCAGTACGGCGCCGCGGGGCCGACGCCGCCGCCTGCCGTTACGTCCCCCATTTTATGCACCTCGACCCCATGCTGCTGCCGTACTCCTCCAGACGCCGGTAGCTTGACGTCCTTCAACGCCAGGTCCGTTGGAGCCACCATCGCCGCAGCAGCACACGTAAGCGTCGGCGGCTCCGTCGCCGCCGCCAACGCCAGCCCCGGCGGCGATGGTGACAGTGACGCGGTCGCCGAGGCCGCCGTCGAGCCTGGAAAACCTGGAGCGACGACGCTGCGGCTGCCGCCGCCACCGCCGTACTGCGCCCTCGCGGCCGCCGACACGACGCTCACAACAGCCGGGGGCAGCTGAGCTTCGGCGGCGCCGGGCGCTAGTAGCGGCGTCGTGTCGACGCACCGTCGCCAACTACTGACGGAACCTCCATGATCCCGATCGGCACAGTCGGTCCTGGTCCCCAATCGGGCGTCAGCTTTCAACAGCCCTCTGGCCGCTGCCGTCGCGCCGCCGCCGCCGCCGCCGCCGCCAACACTGCTGAGGACGTAACGGCGCTGCCCAACATCAGCTGCGGCTCTGGCACCGCCGCCAATGTCGTACTCGTGCGCCGCGCTGGCTAGGCCCCCAGGTGCGGCGGGATCAAGACCGCACCTGTGACGCGGGCGTCCCCCGCCTCCGCCGCCAGCGGCACTGGCGTCGTACACGTGGCGAAGTGCCTGCAGCAGCGCCAGCGTAGCGTCCATTCCCAGGCCGTAGCTCCCGGGAGTGGAGGAGTCGGCACCTGCCCTGGAGCGCCCCCTCGCCGCCGGGACTGCTGCCGGAGGGAGCCGTGTCGGCTGCTGAGGTGGCGGAAGCGGTGCCGGAGGCGCCGACGGCGCGGGATGCTGCTGGTGCTCGGCATAATCGGCCGGGCCATAACGTGGATGACGCTGGTGGTCGTGGTGGTGGTGGCGCTGTTGGTGGTAGTCGCTGGGCGGCTGCTCACGGCGGTCCTGGGGCCGCGCGGGGTGAGCCGCCGAGGAAGGAGGAGGGTGCCACGTCTGAGTGCTCGGACTGGACGAGCGAGTGGGCTCTTCGTACGGGTGCTGTGGCTGCTGCTGGATCGCCTGAACCACCGCGTTCGACCCGCCGGGAACGAAATAACCGCTGTCGGCGCCGCTGCGGCAGCCGACACCGCGTAGGGTCGAGCTACCAGCAGCGCTGCCGCCCGCCACCGACTGCGTCGCGTCTGTGGCTGCGGTGTCCGGTGCCGCGGCGGCGGCGTCGATCGCCAGCCCGTTTGGCCCCCACCTGGCCGCTACTGCCGCCGCCGCCAGGCTCAGCGAGGCGTCGCGAGGCGGTGCCGCCGATGGGCTGCAGCTGCTGCTACTGCCGCCGCCGCCGCCGTGTCTCTTTTGCCCGTCAGCGGAGCCGCATGGCCGCATGGAGGCGGCGGAACCTGAAGCAGCCTCAGCAGTAGTCGCAATAGCAGTAGGAACAGCAGTAGGAACAGCAGTAGCTGCTGCTGCTGGGAAGCCCGCCGTCCGCGGGGTCTCCGTCCATCCTCCCCCTCCGTCACCACCTTGATCACGACGTTCAGTGCTCCTGGTTGCCCAGGTTGACGACTCCAGCTCCGCACCCTCAGCCACAGCTGCGCTCCCATTTCCCTCCGCCGCCGCCAACGCTGCCGCCGACAACCCTGCCGCCGCCATCGTTGCGGCAGGATGGGAGATCGCCGTCAATACGCCCGCTGGGGCCGCAGAGCTGGCGGAGGCAATGGCAGCGGCGGCAGCGTTGAAGGCTACCTCGCGGCCAAGCTCACCACTAGAACCGCTGCCGTCGCCGCCAGTAGGCTCCTCCTCCGCGTCGTACTCCCGCGTCGCCGACACGTCGCCGTGGCGGGGTTCTGCATCTAGTTGGTGCTGGCGGCTCATGGCAAAGACGTACACTGCCGTGGGCAAGCCACAGCCGCCAGCGCTGCCAGCCTCAACGCCGTACCCCGTCGCCCCCGCCAGGTGGGGCACGGCCAGGCGAAACTCCCGAAGGTGCCGTAGGTACGGCAATACATCCAGGAGCGGCTGCAGCTCCTGTGCGCTGACGCTCTCCCGCCATGGCAGTAGCTTCAATTCAAGGAGGGACGCCAAGTGGGGGGAGACAGTATATAGCTCGGGTGAAGGGCTGGTCTAGTACTTCTCAAGCGCATATACGAATATCCCATATGTCGTACGAATAGCCCCTGAGTGCCGATTGTTGCTCTGTGCATTACCACACAGTAGACAGCTATCTCTCTTTGTCTGCCCCGTTGCGGGGGCCCCGGCGGGGTATAACCTCCTGTAACCCGTAAACATGTTAACCTCAACACGACAACCAGGAAGGCTCCCGACCTGAGCCCCTCGCACAGCAGACGATACATACATACGTACATACATGGGGGCCGCTGGTGAAGCTATACCACCCTGTAACAACATCATACATACATACATAAGTACATACACACATACACAACACGTGTGCACAGATGGGGAGTTGGTACAGCGCTGTGACCGCAACCCGTAAACCAGTCATCCCACGGCCAAAGCTGCTCTGTAGGTTTATCTGCATGCGCCGCATCCTCGGGAATTCTCATCCACTCGCTTATTATATTCCAGGAAGCCAGAACACCACCTTGCCGAAAGCATTCGCACCAGGGGACGAATTTACCCACACACCTTGATGTGGGTCAGAAACGGAAAACGCGGCAGCTGCCCCGGGGTGGCTACGTTGCTACAGGAAGTAGGCTGCGGCGGCTGCGATTGCAGCAGCGGATGATGACCCAGCGACCCACGGGTCGGGGCCAGCGGCCGGCTGATGGTGAGCTTCCGCACGCTGGCGTCAACTGCGCGCCGCGCGTCGCGACACACGAGGCGCAGTCTTCGCTTGCAGCTGCTGCTCAGATAACCGCCTATGAGGCTCCACACGTCTTCTGGCAGGGCAAGTGGCCGGTCAAATGGGGGCCTCGAGGCCGCGCTTGCAGAGCTGTTGCTGCACATAGCCAAGTCCCAGCGGTGCATTTCCCAGCAACGCATGCGTCCTTCTTTGCGTCTTGTCTGTTTGGTTCTGGACTTATACGAAGGAAAGAGCGTGTAACAACCACCCAATAATAAAGCAAGTTCTTTTTATTGCGAAGTTTAGGCTTGTAAAGTTTGTGGGCACTGGCGAAGGAATATTTTCCTTTGTCAAGCTGCTAAGCAACATCCGGGGCTGCGGCAGGAAGAGATGCTGCGGCCCCGCCGCGAGAGACAGCCACTACGCGCATAGTGCGATGCAAAATTGAAGTTTGATTATATCTAAAAGTTTTACGTGTCGAATTCAGCGCTGCATATCGTGGAGTGAATCATACTTGGTCGCGGTCTGGGAGCTTTTCCTCCGGACCTCGGACAAGGGGCGTCCGATGCCAGGACAGCAGCCTGCTCGCGTATCTCTTTTCGGTACAAAGATTAGGAAGAGAAAATGTCATTTATTACTTCTCATTTCGTAGCAGTTGCTCCAGTTCCTTCATCCGAAAGCGAGAACTCTTGCTGCTCCTTTCATCGCCCGTACGGAAACATCAACCAAACGTTCCTGTCAGGCAATCCCCCCCGATTCCGGTGTCGAGCCGCAGAAAAACATCCTCTCCGTCGCAAACCCAGCAAAAGCAACAAGCCTTAAGCTTTTTTCACATCCTTACCTCTTCATACATTTACACTTCAAAGTAGACCGAGTTTACTTTTCAGGACACATCGCCATGGCTCGCCGTGACCAAAGCGACACCGTTGCCGGAGAGCTCCGCCAATCCAGCGAGACTGCGGCCGACCTGGCCAACGCGATGCAGGACTCCATCGCCGCGACCGGAGCCGGCTCCGAGACTGCATCCGCGCGCGACGATGTGTCCCCGGCACACCACAAGGATGCCGTGCCTGAGGGGCTGCGTCACACCAGCGAAGTGGCTGCGGAGCTGGCGAACCGCGTCTTCAGCGCCATTCGCGAGAGGCTGCACTTCAACCATCCGGACAAGTCGGCACCTGGCCACGGCAGCGGCAGCGGCAGTGGCAGCGAACGGCAGTAACCAGCGGGTAGGCTAGGATTTGAGCTTTGAGACAGGGACAGGGCGCGAGGCGTGAGACGTGGGGATTGGTTCGCATTGTAGTTGGTGTATAGAGGGGAGGAAAGTGCGTATAGCGGTTTCTGTGTGTAGGGGTGTGCCTTGGGGCTCGAGGGCCTAAGAGAGGGGGGGTAGAGAGAGGCAGATGCCTAGTTTGGCCGGAGGGCAGGAGGAGACCTGAGTTCTTAGGGCGCGAGTGCAAATGCCAGGAGGGGACATTTAGCAAGCATTTGTGCACTGCTTGCATGTGCGTGTTTTCCTGTGCATATGTGAGGAAAAGGCAGCAAAATACGAACCAGTTCTCCTTCCTACGGGAAAAGATTGTCTTACAATTTGTGCTTTGTGCTTGGGGGAAAGATGGGCTGTCTGGAAAGCAATAAACCCCTGGGTGTAATTGACGTGTGCGGGTACATGTTGCGCCTCCCCTGCTGCGCAGATGACGAGTGGAGAGCTCTCCGGCATCATTAGGTGGTAAAGGATACGTTGGGGAATACAATTTGGTGCCAAGTTCTTTGGGCTAGGTAGCGCGCCCGCCAACTGGCAGCGCGAGGAGTTGCGCGCAGCGCGCGAAGATTACTGGAGTCGTCGGGTTGTGTTAGCGCATGTTAGATGTGGGATGCTGGAGATTTGTTGGCAGTCTGCAATCGTGACGGCGTCATTGGATATGCACGCAATTGCGCTGGGTCGTCTGACCCGGGGGTTCGCGTGGAGACTTTCTTGCGGATTTAGAGTAGGTCCTTTGAAACATTTGTTTGGCAATGGATTAGGGACGCTCACTAGTTCTGGGCAAGTTGCCTACACCCTTTTCAGGAGTTGGCTGATTGTCATTTTGAGCCTTGGAACATACGGCATTGTAACGGAACCAACCGATTTTTGTAATGAAGATGAATTCTCACAACAATCAAGCATAAAATATAAGCATAGGTTGGCACAGATCAGGTCTCTCAGGCAAGACAATGTAAATATGGCGGTAGCAACTCTGATATGCCGTCAGGCAAACCTGGTCGGTGCGACATATGATGAGTCTTCTGGCTCTGTTCTGATTACTGTCCAAGGCGATGGTGTACAATCTCACAGCTTAGAACAGGTGCGGTATTGCAATTTTTGTGCAGGGTTGTTCGCGTTTGCATTGGGGTTTACCCTGCCAGTGCGGTTGCTAATGCTTATTCTATGGCCCGAAAACATTAGCAGGTAGAGTTGGCAAAGGTTACTTTTGCACTAGCTGTTTTATTTCCGTGTACGTGGCGGCGCTGATGGCGGCCGATACCAGACGGAACCCCTTACAACGCCGACAATTTTTACCTGCAGAAGCGACTTGGGAGCCTGACGCTGGGAACCCGCTCGGGCTTGGAGTTTCAAGTTCCTTCCGTTCAGCACAGCGAACGTTCGCACCTCGCCAATGAAAAGCAGTGTTCTCGCGTCGTTGTTGCCAGCGTTATACATGACACAACAGCGAAAAGCTATACCCTTCACATATCCGACCTACGTGCCTCGACGCGCCCAATTGCCGATGCGCCATCGCGGGTGACCCTGCCCGCGCAGGCCAAAAGCTGCCATTTCCTTACAACCTACCAGATCCAACACGGATCACAGCAGCAGCAACAAGCTGCCGATGCCTCTGCACAGTGCCTTGCTGCTGCAGTTGTCCTCAACGATGGGCGTGTGGGTGTCACGGTCGTAGGACCTGACGGAGCCGCGGGGCCGCTCCACCTTCCCCCTTCAAGTCCGCAGCCGCCCCCCCTTCACGTCCTAACAACCAGCTCCGCGGACACATTACTCGTGGTCACACAGTCCACGGCGGGCAGCCAGGTCACTCTGCGCGTGCTGCGACTTTCCCCAGCCCCCAGCAACGATGCCACAGGTCTCACGCAGGTCAAGGCTCTGACACTGCCATGCCCCGGCGGCAGCAGCGGCGCCGTACCTACGAGCCTCACCATGAGCCCTGCCTTTGCGCTAATTCAATGGTCTAACGGCCATGCAACTGCCGTACACGGGCTCCAGGGCGGCGCCGCTGCCTCGCCGCTGCGGCCCTGTAGCTTTCCCCTCGCCGACGCTGTCCTTGCCAACGGCGCCTCCTCCTCCTCGGCGCCCGCCACCGCTACGACGCCTGCCGCCATCGCGTCCGGACGGAAGCGCAAGAGCGCAGCAGCCACCTTGGCGACCGACAATGGCAGCGCGCCGCGGCAACGGCCTCGTGTGCTGTGCGCCGCTGTGGATGAGCGGCAGTTTGTGGTGCTTGATCTGGAGTCCTCCGCGGCCCAGTCTCAGATTTGTTTCAGCCTCCACGATGCCCAGTTTGGGTGTCCGCTGTCATCTGGGTGTATGGAGGTGGACGCGCCGCTGCTGAGCCTTGACGTATCGCAGTGCGCTGTGGTGTCATCAGGGCCTGAGGCTACACTTGTCCGACTGGGCGGTGCAGTCCACGGACTGCACATTCGGACCCATCCTATAAGCCTCCTGTCGCTCGTCGCTCGGCTTTCCATGTCGGCATCGGCGGCGTCGGCGGGAGCACCGGCGGCGGCAAAGGGCACGCCTGTGAAGTTGAAGTCCGGCGGGATTGGCGGCGCTGGCGTGGCCAAGGCGGTTGTAACGCTCCCTGCGCAGGTCTCACTCGACCCGACCTTGCTCTCAGGCCAGCCGTTGGGGGCAACACCCGCCGTTGCCGCCGCTGCAATGGGCGACGACGACTTTCAGGATGTCGTACTAGAGCCCGTCCCTGGCACCGCCGTCAACCGCGTTGAAGACATTTGTAACTCCCTCATCGAACAGCTATCCTCGGCGGCAGCGGCGGATACGCCGCCGTCTCAGTCGCTCCTTGACTCAGTGGTGTCGTACATTGCCGGTCGCCGCCAGCACGGCATGGCAGTGCCGCCGCAGTTATTGAGTCTGACCGCGCGCGGTCTGGCAGCCGCGCGGCAATGGTCACAGCTGGGCAGCTTCCTGAACCACGTCCCGCGTGGGGGACTAAGTGGCTGCAGCGACGTGCTTGTCCTGGCGGCGGCGGCGCAGCAGTTCGGCCTTCTGTCCCGCCTGTCCACCTGCCTCGACGACGTCGAGCCAGGGGCGCTGGTAGACGCCCTGCAGGTGCTGCTCGCTCCCACGACCCGCAGCAACCTGGCGGCAAGGCAGCAGCACTACAATGCGCTGCGTGCCGCCGCAGAGGCGCGGGTAGCTGAGGCTGAGACGGCAGTACGCCGCGCCACTGCAGACGCCGGCAATGGCAGTGCGGTGGCGCTGGCGCAGTGCGCCGCCGCGGCTGTGGACGGGTTTAGCTACCGTGAAGTCCTGCTGCACCCGCTGTTGGCGATTCCCGTGGATGCCCCGGCGGTGCAGGTGGCGTTGCGGCGCCTGAGCGCCCCCTCGACTGACGCGCTGCTGGGCTGTCTATCCAAGTGGCTGGTCAAATACACGGGGGGAGCCCTGGGTGACTTGACCCACTACGTGGTGTTGCCGCAGGAGCTGCTGTTTCCGTACTACCACCAGGTGCGACGGCGAACGGTTAGCTGGTTGGTTGGGCTCCATGGGGGCTCCAGAACCATTAAAGAGAAATAGTTTCCATACAAGGGGAGGACAATACCGGGAAAGTTCAACTATCGTGGACTCGAAACGTTTAGATTAGTTGGGGGCCAGCGGTGGGAGGGCGGGAAGAGTGGGAAAAGCGGATGGTTTGGGAACACGAAGTTGTGGGCAAGGGGTAAGGAGTGCGGGGTTGAGTGGGCTGGGCTCTGAATGGAGCGACGTGTGTGGTGTGGGGTTGCACGGAGGGCCGTCGTGGTGTGTTGACGGGAGAACGGGCGGTGGTGGGGAAGGGGAATGCACAGAAATGGCAGGCGCGCTGTTTTTCTGGGGCAAGCAATTGCTTCACTACAGCCTCAATGCGGATTGCCGATGATGCCACGATTGCTTTCTTTCACAGTTTGTCAGATGCGGGCGTGTTGATCGCGCACCGCTTGGACGACAATTTGTACATCTTGAGGCACATCCGCTCCCTGGGAGGGGGCTGAGAAGAAGGGTAGGGTGTCACCAGCAACGAATGGTTTATGTGTGTGCGTGTACGGAGGGGTAAAGGGAATGTGAAAGGGAGGAGGGGAAAACGGAGGGGATAGAGAGCTTAAGTAGCGCAATCATGAAATTCTGAAGATGTTGGCCAAGGGTAGGGTGTACACGCTAGGTACATAGCCCAGTATTTTGCGGACTGCCGATGATGTCATGATTGCTTTCTTTCACAGTTTGTCAGATGCGGGGTCTTCATGACTTTTGCCAGGACGACAAACGTACGCCTGAGGCACAGCCGCCGAGCCACTTCGCGTTGTATTAGGAGGTGCTCTGTAGGTCGTTTTGAGTGTTCCTGAACGCTTGCATGATCTTAAATTACTTACTTAGGACGGTAGAAGATATACATGCTGCTAAAGCTAAAGCTAAAAACAAGAGACCTTTGTTGATCCTCGCAAAGGTCTCTTGTTTTTAGCTTTGCGGAACCAGGCACGGCGGAACCAGGCACGGTGTGAAAAAGCAGGCCCTTCTCCCTTTTCCTTCATTCTGTTACTGCAGGTGCTGGAGTGGACTCGGATGACCATCGACGCTCATTTGACAAGACTCCTGATGGCGAAAACACCTCTGCCCGCGTTGGAGTCCTTAGAAGCAGCTCTCAACAAGGCTGTGGAGGGCACCAGACGCCTTGCTATGCTGCGGGGCGCTCTGGAGCATTTGAGCGCCGCTGCGCCTTTGCCCGCTGCGCATATTGCTGTTGCGACGCAATATACCGCAGAAGTGCTTGATCTACGTGTGCGATGATGATGTGCCGCAGGAGGTTGGTTTGAAATGATGTCCTCGACCTTGTGTCGAACGAACGTTAACACTTTGGTTAGCGATCTTGAACTGGAAGCTGGAGGATGCCAATGAGCGGTACGGCAGTGGTGGCTCTGTTACAGTTACGGCTTCTTCGCGTCCGAGGAGTTTTCACAAATTTGTTGTGACATGTATGTAGCAAGGCTACCCTTTGGCAACCTATTTTGCCGCGGTGCATGCCTTTCGATTTCTGTGTTAAATCTGTAACAGTCATCAGTTGTCAGGTCCCACCGCTGTTGGCTCGCAAGTTTTCAGCGGCCGCGTATAGCCCCAAACCTTCGAGCCTCATCTCGATTCCTGCTGCACAAGCATAAGGGTGTTATCGAGAGCAGAGTTCCTGGATTTTCTGACGGGCATACAGCGACCAATTATTAGACGCCGCAGTTCGCGGCCTCGGACGACGGGGCATGGGCAACTGCTGCACTTGTGAGTGTCGTCAAAATGTAAAGGCTGGAACTTCCATTCCTGTCATCTGTTTCTTTGAGTATCCATATGACTGCTGCAAATCGCACCAAGTCATGTATGGGAGATCTGAGCGTGTTGACTCCGTTAATTTCTGGCAACATGTCCCATGGGTCACTGGGGGGAGCATACCAACATCTTCGATCACAACTTGGGACGTAAACGGGACAAGGCTTCCTCCCATTCCTAATGGGGGGGCCGGATGCAGGTGGCCGAAAGAAACGGCCAGGTCCGCAGCCGCCGCCAGCGCAGGGCTACCGGCACCTCAGGACGCCCAGGGTGCGTGTTGCCCGCGGCGGGAGCGGGGGCGGCGGCGGCGGCGACGGTAGCGATGGCAGCGACTACGACGACCGGCCAAGCCGTTCCGACCTCCCAGCCGCCGACATTCCGGTGGCCAAGCCCTACCAGCCTCCGTACGAGAAGGAGGCGCCACCGCCGCCGCCGCCACCCGCCATGGGCTTCCCCGTAGCTCCGCCGGGCGCCTCCCCACCCCAGATGCCGCAACTGCAACTACAACCGCAACTACAACCGCAACCGCAAACCCCCGCAGGTGAGTGGGGCGGAGAAGAAGAGTGGTGCTCAGCTGCCCTCAGGGCGCGGCACTTGCCATGGCTTCCCCTCTGTAGCCCCCTAAGGTGCTCGGGAATGCTGACCGAAGCAGCTGTCCTCCGGCGCTCGTGTTCCAGAGTCTCCCTCCGTCTGCTGGTATCCATCTCCGCGCTGGAGGTGCCCGTCTCTCTCTCTACACACACATACACAAGGTCTTCACAGCGGCCTGATTGCGACTGAGACTGCGTGTCTGTGTCCCTCCCCGCGGGTGTGCCCGTGCGGGTTTAGGAGTAGGGTGCGGGCGGGATATGGATGAGCGCTGGATGAAGCCGCAACACAGAGAGAGGAATCAGCGGGAAGGCTAATCCGACCTGCCGTATCGGTATTTGCGTCCACCCCGAGTGTTCCGACGGTTTGCCCTCCTTGCTGCTGTTGGCCTGGCCTGGATGACGCCGCCGCGTTGCTGCCGGTCTACCTCCCCACATACCCCATATCTCTCTCACACACGCATTCTCAAGCTTAAACTCAACCCCACCCCACTCCGGCGCGCAGTCTACCCGACAGCACCGTCCCTATACCCCCAAGTCCCCTTTGCAGACCGAGCCATTAAACCGTACGAAGGTACGGCAGATCCGGATAGCGCATATTTGAGAGCGAGTCTTAATGCTTGGTCCTTGACTCGGCATGCGCTTTGAAACTGATTTTAGCACATCACAAAATCTCCTGGTACTAGAGCTTCCGGCTAAAACAGTGGAAGGACTTACGGAGGGTTTGTTGAAGCATGTGCGTGAATGCCTTCCCTTCGCGTGAAGATTGTTCTAGATCCAAAACAGGTTCCTGGCACGCATCCATGGCTTGAGGTCAAGATCTTCCATGCTAGTCACACTCCTCCGCCTACGAATGTTGCTTGTGAACGTTATCTGTCTTTAAGCGAAAGCAAAAGGACTGGAATTTGCTGCTTTGCAGCATAAAAAAGACCATGAAGATGACCTTTGACATTTGACCTTTGCCTTCGTCAATATCATTACGTACGGGAATGCCACACTGCCCGCAGGCTTGTTGGACTGAGGCTACTGGGGATTCTCGTCGTCGGTGGCGCGGCTGCTGCCTCCTGGAAGGCCTGACGGTTGTTGGTTGGCCATAGCGGTTGTAAAGCAGTTGAAATGTGTGGGGCTGTGTGATGCAGGTGGTCGTTGGCTTAGGCCAGGCGGTGGGGCCGCATTCTTATTTCTCGTTATGCGTTTTGACGTATCTCGGACAGCACAGCCCTAGGCTGAGCCTTAGACCTCTGGCTCAGGTGGGTCCGTTACACCTCCCGAAAGTAAAACGCAACTCCAGAAGGTGTAACGCGCACACGCACACACACACACACACACACACACACACACACACACACACACACACACTCACACTCATTCAGCTCATGCCTAAGAAGCCGTGCAGTATATGTGTTGACGCGTCGAGCCATTGAACATCGTGGAGACTGTACGATGCGCCTTAGGTGTTCCCAAAGATGGTCGCGAATTTGAAGGTGATGTACAGCGACCAGCGCCGTACCATATGTATTCTTGACAGTCTTGACCAGTACATGAAAGGAAAGCAGGGTCATGTTTGCGGAAGAAAGAGGGCTCCAACGCCAATGTAGAACACACACACAATAGGACCCTTCCCTTATCGCGGCTCGGATCATTGAAGAGCATACACACACACAAACTAACACACGGCTGCGTTCATAGCACGCGATCAGTACCCCCCTGGTGTGAATGACTGTAAAGTGCCGCAACTCACACGTGGGAACGGCTTGAGGCGGCAAGATGTCAAAAGCGCCCTGGTTTCCTCACACACACACAGAGAGAGAGAGAGACGTCGGCCGCAACCAGTGAGAAGATCCAAGTCCTGGGGTCAAAGTACGAGAATCTATACATCGTTTAGACACCCCTGCTCTACAAAAGCCAACTTTCTCTTGCTCCGCCTTTTTCATCAGTCCTTTGCAGAACACATATCCACCAGTCACCACGGACCATCCAACTACATCACGACAGCAGCGCTTCCGTCAGCACCTCCCGCAGTCGCTCGGCTACGGTTCGGTCAGCTAGCCGAGCCGCGAACGGTTCCAGCGGTACTGGTATTCATAAGCGCGGTCAGACATGGGCTGTTGCGGCTCTAAGCCCGGTGCGCTCTTCTCTGCGCCGCATCTGTGTGCGCAAACTGACCCGTGGGTCAATCCCGTTTGCGTTAGGAAAGCGACCGCCCGCACACGCGCACCGCCCGCAGCGTGCACCACTCACTCAAAAAGGCATAGGATTCAACTGACTGCATGCCTCTATGAGAGGCCCGTTATAGTGACCTGTTATGACGCGCGCTCACGAAGCCACTGCGCCTGCGGCTTTATTTGGTTTCGACACGACCTGCTGCCTTGCGGAGCCCCCCGCAGGCGGAGATATGGTTAGGCTGCAACAGCGTCAACTCCGATGTCACCCGCTCCTCCTGAGCTGTATTGAGCTGCGCCGTGCTGAGTTGCATTAGAGCATTATGTGGGCGTGACACCTTCCGCACTCGTGCCCCTCCGCGCTGCGCGACCAGGAGTCAACGAAGAGCCGTTTGCCAGCGCACCTGCGGCGTCGTACGGTCCCTACAGACCGCTGCCTCAATACCTCGGCCACACCAATCCCACTGCTCAGCTTGGGGCACCTGCGGGGTTGCCGCTATCACCATCACAACCACCCGCGGGTTTTCTGCTACCCGACGCAGCTGGTAAGCTCCTCCCATCATGCAAGCTGCACAATCGCAGGCTGAGCGTTTCGAGACACCGTATGTACATAAGGGCACCTCCGAGATCACTGCTGTCGTGTTCCGTGCCTCGCCTTGCCTGTGCATGTTGCAGCAGCAGCTGCAGTAGCAGCAGCAGCAGCAGCCCCGGCGGAAGCAGCACGTAACGCCTACGGCGCATTGGCTCCACCCCAGCCCCACGCGGGTTCCCCGACGCCGGGCGGCGGCGGCATGTTCCTTTCCGGCTACCCGCCTCCAGGTGCGTTGTTTTAAGGCCCGTGTCGCAAGCACCATCCCTTCTACCTCCCACGGCTTAAATCCCGTTGGTGTGTTCAGTGTCTAGGGAGGGTGGGACAGTAGGGCTTGACCCATGGGACCATCCTCAAAAGTTGTAAATTTCGTTGAGGACGTCAGCCCCCTTCCTCCTTAGTGCGGAAGTAGTGTTGTACAAGCCGAAGTGGTCACAGCACAGCAGAGCAGAGCACAGCAGGAATTTGGACAGACTGGCAATGTCTGTCGTGGGCTGTTGGTGATTCGGTACGCCAGGGCCTGCCGGGGCGCAGCACAGCACAGCACAACACGGCATAGCACGGCACGGCGGTAGTCGCCGATGAACCCTGGCTGGCTCCGGCGGCAATATCCCGCCCGCCTCCAGGGGTATTGGGCGGATGGTGGTGGTGTGGTGGTGAAAGTGACGATGTTGCTGTTGATGGCGGACTGTGTCTTTCTTCCACCGTCTCTTATCCGCGGGCTCGTGCACGCGAGGATAACCGGACCATGCAGGGAAGGGGGGGTCGACACAGTTTGGTACGATGATGCGAGCATCACCAACCAGCTCAACCCACCCGCCCACACCATGTTACCCAGGGGGATATGTCATGCAGCCGCCGTTACAGCAGCCACCCCAACAGCCGCCCCAACAGCAGCCGCCCCAACAGCAGCTTTGGCCGGGCTGGCAGCAGCAGCAGTGGCAGGGGCCCTACCAGTGCCTTGGTGGCGCAGGCGCCTACGGACCTCATAACCCTGCGGCCGCCGCGGGCCCTAGCCTGGGTCGCCTAGGGGCGGGAGGTGCTGGCGGTGCAGCAGTGCTGGGGGGACTCGGGGGACTGGCGGCGGGTATGCTCCTGGGTAACGCGCTGAGTGGGGATGATGGCGGCGGGGCGTTCGATGCCTTCGACGGCGGCGGCATCTTCGACTTCTGAAATGGCACTTTGGTAACAGTGTGTCATGTTGAAGGCCAAGAACAACGATAACAGAGCATGTCACATCCGCTGTGGAGAGCGTCGAGCGTGTGGGAACTGATTATTGTGCACGAGGACCTGTCGTACTGGCGAAGGATGCACTGGGGTGAGTCATTTGTTGGGACGTGCCAGGGGGGGACGTTTCGGCGTCGCATTATGTTATGTGGTTATGCATTATGGGCTCGGTGCCTCGGTTCCTCGGCAATAAGCCCCCGATGGATCTTGAGCGGATGGATAGATTGCTGTTGGGCATTGCCAGAATTAGCGCGTTGTACGATACCAGCACTGTAAAAAACGGCGGCTCCATCACGTGTCGTACAGGTCAGCTCGCGTGATGTGGCATGTGACAAGCGACCGGGCGGTACAGCCGCCATTCCTGGCAGCACCACTGTGTACTCGTGCTTATAGCAATGAAGGTCTTAAAGTTAGGTTGTCTATCTCATTATGATTGGCGTAAGGAAAAAATACCTTTGTATGCATTGCTGTACTACTCTGTTGGAACGCGGCTGGCAGTCCGTGTGGAGGGCTAGTGCCCTTCTGTTGCAGGTGAATGTGGCAATGGGAGGTGGTGATATCGAAACACCATGTCCTTCCCTGCTCCTGAAGCTGGATCTCAGAGCCGGGTTTTATGGCTCGGGTTAGCTGCAGGCCGTTTTTCGCCCTTGCGAAGCCAACTTTAAGGACCGATTCAGCGACGTACACGACGCGGTTCGGCTCAGCCATGCAGACTGCGGAGGCCGCGTCCTCGTCCATCAGGTGCGGGATTGCAAGCTGAATCCGAACCCAAAAGCCGAAAAGCAGTCAACAGAACTGAAGGAATCAGCCAGCCAGCCGAAGTGCTAGCAGCCAGCCCAGAGCCAGCCAGCCAAAGGGCTAAACCCTACCCATGCGCAGGCCAGCTAAATCAACCAGCAATGTCGTCAGTGTTACATTTATTATTTAACATCTGTTTACCTTCAATTCATTGTGGAATACGCGGCGCTCGATGAAACCCTTCTAGCGCGCTTGCAAGGCGGCTTTACGTGCAGTGCATCATGTGTATACTGCAATGCGTATATCTAATGTTTGATTTTGTGCATTGCGTCGTCTGTGATAACGAAGTTACACTCACAACCGACTGTGGGCGGTTATTCACTGTTCTGTCCGATTCCCATGCCATCATATGGCACACAATGATTTGCAATATTTTTTTATTGCAAATGTAAACTGTAAAATGATGCAAGGGCCGACCGCATTACGGATTGGGGATCGGCGGTTTATGGACCTAAGCTTTCCTTGTACGAGGAATATTAGTGCACATAGATTGTGATTCTCCTTGCGAAATATTATGTAAATTTCAGTTTTGAAGTCTGGCTATCCGCCTTATCCCCGTATAAGCTGGATTTACAGGCATCTACATACTCAAACGGTAACTCGACGGCCTATCGGCCGTGCGACACTCTAGCGCGTAGAGCATTGCCATCGGAGACCACTGCATCCCTAAGAAGGAGATAATAAGGAATGGGCTGCGGGGCCTCAAAGGGTACGCCGGCTGCTTTGCGAACGCTGGTCCATCTGTCCTCCGAGGCTTTGCAAGAAATTGTCTCCGCGCACAGCTCCAATAGATTTCATCCCCAGAACCTATTTACATTTCTAAAGCCAAATGGCTAACGTATTCTGTTAAACCTTCCATCTGCTCACGCTCATCCTTGCAGGAAAGGCGGTCCACGACCCGGCAGCCCATAATGGCGCCTCTCCTGGAGCGTACCCAACCACATCTGCACAGGGCGCCAACCCCCCTGGAGCGGCCCCGCCGGGTGCCTATCCCCCTGGAGCGACCCCGCCGGGTGCCTACCCCCCTGGAGCGACCCCGCCGGGTGCCTACCCCCCTGGAGCGACCCCGCCGGGTGCCTACCCCCCTGGAGCGACCCCGCCGGGTGCCTACCCCCCTGGAGCGACCCCGCCGGGCGCCTACCCCCCTGGGGCTCCTCCAACAGGTGCATTTCTCCCTCTGCCGTATGAGTCTCAAGCAAACAACCGTCATCTGCCGGCACCTGCACCTTCCAGTAACAGCTGCCCTAGTACCTGGCCTGTGAATTTGTGATTGCTTAACCCAGCGCCGCTAGGACAGATTAACCGTTTGTCTTGGATTGACAGCACTATCTTCGCCTGCCCTTTCCCGGCATGTGTTGATACCCCCTCACTGCCCTCTCACTGGCCGTTCCTAACTTCAGGGCACTTGCGGCGGAGCAGCAGCAGCAGCAGCAGCAGTAGCGGAAGCAAGGGCAAACACAAGAAGCACCCGCCCGCTGCGGTCTCGGTCGCACCAGCCCCTGCACCAGCCTATGGGGCGCCCATTCAGCCTGGGTACGGCGCTCCGCCACCGCCCGGTTACGCCGCGCCACCCCCGCCAGGGTACGGCGCACCTGCATACGGAGCCCCACCGCCGCCAGGGTATGGTGCACCGCCAGCACCGTACGGTGCGCCGCCGCCGCCGTACGGAGCCCCACCGCCGGGCTACGCCGTACAGCAGCCTATGTATGTACAGCACGGTAAGCATGTGGGGTTCGCATGGGCTCTGGGATGTCACCCTGAACATGTCTGGGGCCTGGTGGCTCCATGTACACCCAGGCCATGTGGCGCCTACCTGTCTCGGTATGTGATGGGGCGGTGCTCCCCTCCCGCCACCACCGCAATGTTCAACACGTGAACACCCCGAACTGGAACCACCGATGGACCGCGATGGTACCAGCGGCATGTGGGCCCCCACACAGAGGGGGTATAGTCTCTGGGGGCTCCGGCGGGGGGACTCTGTTGTCCGGCGCGCGTTGTAGAGCGCGCGCGACAGCTCATGCGGAGGACGTGGAGGAGGGGGAGGATGTCCACTGCCGCCACTTACTGGCTTCCTGTTAGCCGCCACAGCGCGTGGACCGCAGTGTGTGTCCAAAGGTTCCAGGTTGGTTGCCGTACAGCTGTACAGTCGTACGTACATGAGCCATTGCCTGACCCGACCCACCCTAACACCAGCCGGCGCAATCTCGCTCGTCGTTACTGTACATACAGGGTATAATCCTCACCACTATCAACACCACCACCACAACCAGCACCACGGGGGCATGGGCACGGGCGCCGCGATCGCCGTTGGCGCCGTGGCTGGTGCGGCTGCCCTGGGGGGCGGGCTGCTGCTCGCGGACGCAATGGACGGTGACATCTTCGACGCGGGCTTCTGATGAGTCGAGAGGCGCGAATGGGAGAGGAACCACTTTAGAACTTCAGGCGGTGCCCCCTGACAAGGGCCTTGAGGCCGGCAAGGCTTGAGGCCGGCAAGCCTCCGGGGCCTGCGGTAGCGGTGGGGCCTATTTCGCCAATTTGAATTCGTCTTGTCGGAAGCTGCCCTTTGGGATAGCGCCTCCTGAACATGTTGTGATTACCGCCACTTCGTGACTGACGGTGATGAGACACTGGTTTGGGGGGTTTAGGGTTTCAATGCTAACCGAGTGCTTCGTAATATTCAGTCCTCGTGGAAAGGCACGCCATGATAACGTGTGTGCGTGCGACTGTTCGCTTGCGGTGTCAGGGGCCCCATCTTTGCTCGCTTATATCGGGTGTATGGCTCGGCCATTTCGAGTTGGAGGCCGGCAGGCCCCCAACCTGCCGCTGAGACGGCGGCGGGAGAGTTGCGACGCGGATTTGCCGAATGGAGGAATCATTTTTTTAATGTTTCTCAGCCGCTGTGGCAAGTATGTCTCGTTGCGCTGGCGAGTTGTGACTACGCTGTTGGCTTTGGGAACACGGGGTCCGAGGCGGCTCTCGGCACGTGGCGAGGGGCCCCGCGTCCGTGGTGAGTAGTAGGACCGCCAGCCAGCAAAAGATGATCAGTGGCGAGGGCAGAGGTCCTTTCGTTGGTGCTGGTGAGCAAGGGGGCCATTGAAGAGAGGCCTGGACACGTACGTATGTGCACGAGGCGGTTCTGGTGAAGGGTTTGAGCTCATGTACAGTAGAAGGACCTCAGGTGGATTTCCTCCCCTGATGTCAACCTTGATTAAAACCTATGTGTGTGATGCCTCGCTTGGGCTAGAGCAAGGAGTGACACTCTAGGCTTGTTCACGCGCCTGACCTTACATTAGCATTTACCGATTTCTAAATTTTTAGCTGGTGGGTTGTTAGGGTCACTCAGGACGAAATGTTTTTGCCTCAACTCTTCCCTGACATGCGGTTTCCGCACTGCCTGCGTATGGTATGAAGGATTCAGTATGCACACCCGGGGCCCTGCGCTGCGTGGACATGTTGCCCCATCTCAGCGCGCGCAAATGTAATGTAATGTAGTACACCCGCTTCGCCTGTAAAAAACTACGGCACTCTCTATCCAGTGCCAGCACCCAACCTCGCCTTCAGATTTCTTCCCTAACGGGGGGTTGCGGAGGGGTAAGGATTTCCGCAGCTGCAGAAACCCCGTCATCCCCCGGTGTGCAGCACTGCGTCAGCTTTGCCGTTTAATAACGCGCATAAGTGAGAGGACGTCGTGCTGCGGGTCATGTGTTGGACGGACGAATGGCGCACGAGGGGCCCTGCCTCGGACACAAAGTCCCAGGACAGTCACCACCGCCCAGTCAGTCAGGCAGCCACGACGCACCATGAAGCCCCATGCCCCAACCCCCCTCCCATCAACAACAGACAGCCCCGCGGGGTATGCGTTACAGTTTTTGATAGTACAACAGACAGGCGGAAGTAGCTGAGCGGCCAAATGTACATGGGTCTGCCCCGCTTTACCGTCCGCGGATGCAGCAGGTTATGAATGAATGATGTGGACTCCGAATGATGCCGGCCAGTGGTGGATCCGAGTACAGTTTGATAGAAAGGCTGGAGGAAGGGACGGCGTACACAACTTTAGATGCGTTTGTTTGGCCCACTTCCCTGCTGTTAGGACACCACTACTAGGGCAAAGCTGCGCAGCCGCTCGCACCCATCATCACCATATCACGTCGTCCAGCACTCCAGCCTTACTTACAGCTGCGGCTGCAGCAGCTGTGTTAGGACCGGCGCAGGTTCCTGCACCTGCACCACCGACTGAGCCCCTAGTCCGCTAGCGCCTAAGTCCGGTCCTGGCATTTGCCCCGGCGCCTGTGTACCCGCCGCCAATCCCTGGAGCTGCTGCTGCTGCTGTTGCTGGTGGTGGTGTTGCTGCTGCTGCTGTTGGTTCCCGTGGCTCGCCACTGTCACCGCCTGTGTGGCTTGTCCAAGGACGCCCTCTGCGGTCGAGCCCGCCGCCGCTGCGGCCATGAGCGCCGCCTGTATCGGCCCCAGGAGGGGCCCCATGCCGCCGCCACCATGTAACGCTGCCGCCGCCGCCGCCGCCGCCGCTGCCGCCCCGCTCGGAACCAGGCCGCAGCTCGCCGCGGCATGATGATGATAAGGCTGGAGCCCACCTGGAGCGGCAGCGGCTGCGGCGGTGGCACCGTCACCACCGCCGCCGGCCATTGCAGCACCATTAGGTCCCGGGGCGCTCCCCGCTCCCGTTCCCCACGCCTGCACTGCCGGTGGCTGCGCCTGCAGCGGCGGCGGTGGTGTCGCATGATGATGCTGGAGCCCAGCACCCGGCTGCTGCTGCTGCTGCTGCGTGGCGGCGTGGACCAGGGCGATAGCTGGCGGCGGCGGCGGGGCTGCCGTGTGTTGCTGGTGCTGTGGCAGCTGGGCCAGTTGCTGTGCAATGGCCGCCAGTGACAGGACAGGAAGCTGCTGCAGCCGCTGCCGCGACTCCAGCTCCACCACCACACTGGCAGCCTCCCCGGGCAGCAGACCCGCCTGCATCAACACCGTCAGCTGCATCGACTGCGGCAGCCGCGCCAACACCTCTCCAGACACGCGTGCCTCGCGGCAGCGCGCAATAGCGACCCACGGGTCCGTCAGCGTGGAGGCGATGACCCCCTCCAAGTCCATCGGGGGTCCAGGAGGGGTCGTGAGCCCTGCCGGGGGCAGAAGGGCTGGGGCCGCTGCAGGCGGTGGCGGCTGTCCCCCAGGCTGTAAAGCGCCACCGGCAGGGGCGGCCGCCGCTGCCGCAGCGGCTGCGGCTGCCGCCGCCGCCGCCGCGTTAACCGTCGACAGGAGTTGGCTGCTGGGGCCTAGGGTACAAGGACGACCGGCGGCCGCAACGGAGGCGGCAGTGGTGGTACCAGGAGGGGCGAGAAGCGGCGGCGGGTTGCCGAGCTGGGCGGCAGCCGCCGCCTCATTGTGGTGTTGGTGCTGCTGATTTAAAGGGCCGTGCAGCTGCGGGTGGTGAAGCGGCTGTAGGGGCTGTACACCCGGTGGTGCACCCGGCGGCGACTGCTGCTGCTCCTGCAAGGGTACCAAGCCGTACGTGTTGTATGCCGCGGCGGGGACAAGCGGCAAACATCTCAACACTAATTCAAATCACACGAAGCCAGCTATGACAGGCAGTACCCCACGGATAAGCCGCCGTGTAGATGTCAAAGGCTATTCCTCAAACCCTTACCCATCCCCGGTGCCTATTTCCCCTGTTTGCTCGCCCTTCTGTCTCTCCCCCTCTCTCCCGCTCTCTCTCCGCTCCGCTCGAGCCCTCTGGTTCTCTCTCTGACCCTCCTCTCACCCGGAAGTGATCCCTGCATGCCGCCTCAAAGCTGGTGATGAGCTCCTTACGGCTCTCCACAAACGCCGCCGCCGGCTTCCCGTAAGCTGTGTGTGCATGTACGTATGTGTGTGTGCGTGTGTGCGCATCCACAGGGACCGGTGGTCAACTCACAGAGCGGTGACTGACAGATGCGACGGAATCAGTGAGAAACCCCGATGCCACACCGACCAACGGAGCACAGGTCAAAAGAGCTCGTACGGGGAAGCAGCAGTGGGAGGGGGATCTGCTGACACACCCACGAAGCTGCCAATTTGGTGGCTCCTGTGTGTGCGCTCCACAATGCTTTACATAACGGTGAATAAACAAGAGGCAAGAAAAGCAAGAATGGTAATGAAATAAAGCAACAAAAGCAGAAGCGCGGCTTCTGCCCTCCATGCCGACGCTCCACTCGCGCGCTCACCGATGGCCTGCGCCGGCGCTGGACCTCCTCCCTCAATGTACATCAGCGTCAGCACCACCGCCTTGCCGCCCGTCCGTACATGAACCTCATTCGCCGCATCGCGGAGGGAGGTGCGGACCTGGGGGGGGTCCAAAGGCGGATTGGGCGGGAATGGGGGGGGGTAAGGGGGCAGGGATGCAGCCCATGAGTCATATGTGTGAGCGAGCGAGTGAGTGAGTGAGAGAGAGAGACAGAGACTATCGGCACGCATATTGACCTGCGCACCTGCGCGTGTGTCAGGGGACCTGATTTGATGAGCCGCTCCAGCTGTGAGTTGCGGCGGTGGGACGCCAGGTCGAAGCCGCAGTGCTCGCACCGGTTGGTGCGGCCGCCATTCAGCTGTTTGCCGCATGCCGGGTTCTTGCAGAAGGACTTGATCTGGTAGCCCTTTGGGTTGCCGCGGTGGCGCTTTTGCTCACGATCTATGTAGGGCCGGAAAGGTGAGGGGAAGGATACGGGAGTTTTCCCCAGGGAAAGAGGAACAGGGCTTGGGGTCCGTGGGCCGGTTCGGCGGTGGCCATGGGCAGGTATGGTGCATAGTTTGCGCACACAGACCTGCTTGCAACTGGTTGAATTTTTCTTCTAGATCTTCGTATACTTCATGCTTAATAGGTGGAGGGCGCGGCGGGCCCGTGGCGGTCGAAATTTCCTCGACGCTTGTTTTAGTCGCTTTTCGCTTTCCCGGCTGTTTCGTTAAGCTTGGATGCTCTGGCTGGACTTGTAATGCCTGGCTGAGGGCTGCGTGCTGCGCGGGCACTGATAGCAGCTGGGCTGCCCCTAGGTTGGCACCGGGCAGCAACGCCGCAAGAGCTGCTTGCAAAGCTTCTGCCGTTAAAATCTGCTGCGGTTGCGCTCTTACTGCGTCGGGAACAGTTCCAGGATCCATTAGTTCGATACTATTACAGGGAAAATGATGTAAAAGTACCGTTACATGATGCGACCAAAGTGCCTTGTGGCATTGTTACAAGACGAAACATGCACAAATTGTATAAAAATATTTGGGTACGAGTAGCACAACCGCATAGTTGGTGGATTTTTTGCGTCTCGGTGTTGACTTCCACTACGGAGAGCACTATCTACTTCATGACATGCCAGCCTAGTAGTATAATCCTGGAAATAATGTTAATGACTTTATGACTACATAGGCAGATGTTCTTCCTGCCTTCCAGGCATGCGGTGCATAGCGCGAACACATATCTGAGCCGCTGCAAACCGTGCTATGCGTGTCGTGCCTGGAACCCTGATACACTCAAGCCGGTGACTGTTGAGAGCTGCACTGATGCTGGAAAGGGCCTTGGTTCCCAAGCTCACGAAGTTAGCACGCATGAGTCCATACCATGCAGTTTGCGATTGTTACAGTGAAGGTCAATCGGGACGCGCAGACGCCCTTCGGATTTTGAACCGTGATGGGCGTACCAAACCATCAGCCTGCTGCAGCTGCCCCTACCGCATACCCCAAAACCCCTCGAAACCCTAAGTGTACACCCTGGAGGGCATTGCTGGCACATCCCCTGCCACACCGGATGCTCCAAACCTGTGGCCGCCAACAAAGCTGTGAGCACAATGTCAAGAGGTTGACATCTACTGTCTTTTCGGCTGGAATCCGCGACCCAAATCCCGCAGGGTCAAATGCAACGCCACTTCATTTGTTCTCTTTGACAAACCGCAAAACCTCCAACGCCTAAATGCCGACCCAAGTATCAGCGGCATCCACAGTCTCGGGCGCACGTGCAGCCCTTCGGCATTTAAGGAAAATCCTCTTCTCCCGGTTTTTTTCAAATGAAAAAGACAAAAGGACCCCCCTACTCGGCGGGTGCCGCCGCCCGACAGGTCACCGTTACACGGACATCCAGGCTAGGCGAACCCCGCTCATCCAGCCCGTGCTGTTGCCAAAGCCGCCCCTCCCGGGCACCGGGTTCTCCGGGTCAGCCGACTTGAGGACGCACTCGCGAAAGCGTTCCAAACCCGGACAGCCCCGTGGGTCGCCACACCAGCTCCAGGTGTTGCAGTACTGCGTTGCGGAATTTCGAATCCAGATCCGCGAATTCATACAAGTGAAACAAAAAAGCAAAAATGCTCGTCTCTTGTGACGTGTGTATTGTGCTTGGTTCCTAGGATCGTTTGCATGGCTCTGAAAGGTAGCGGGGAAGTTATACGGTATGGGCTATGGGCTTATACGGTGTAGCCGTGTAGCTGACAGTGGCCAGCCGGCGCCTGGGTGCTAAAGAATCACGCTAACTACATTACATATCGCCAGTCGGCCGGTGTTATCTGCAAGCCTCCAAGCAAGGCGGGAAGATCGCGGGGGACCTAATTTAGGACAACTTCAGGCAGCCGCACACCACCAGGCGGCTAGTCTCATAAAAAGTCAAGGAGAAATTGTGTAGTGCTGGGAGAATGCGGGTTTGCTGTGCCCACCCCCCAACCCGTATTTCTAATGCTATGTATGTGATGCCATACACCGTCACACATCTCCCACCTGCGTCTTAGCACATAACGCGCAGCAGGCCTCGGGCGTGCCAACGAAGACCCGGGTGCCCGTCTGAATAACCTGGGGAAGCGGGGGAGAGAGTGGTTGGGGGGTGGGGGGGATGGGGGGGTTCAACCAACGCAGCGCAGCCAGCCAGGTGTTGAGATCACTCAGGCGGCCAGTCAGCCTAACTCCCCCCTATCATACGAACACCTACGATGCTCCTGCCCTCACCTCGTTCTTCCCCATCCGTGGCAAATGCTGAGCGCCACGGCCATGCGCCACGCGCAGACCTGTGAGCTCATATGTCCGGTCTGTGCCTCTGTGGTGGGTGGAGACGAACGATAGCCCCGCTGTGCCAAGGCTGCCCAACCGCCTCCCTCACCTTGCCCTGCAGTTCCGTGTCCAGCAACACGGTACAGGAGAAGACGTCGTCGCAGGAGTCCAGCAACGTCCCGTTGAAGAGAGACGGGGGATTCGCACAGTCGGCGTTTGTAAGGCACTGCAGGCCCTCCGGGGTGTACTCGCCCCCAAAAGAAGCGCAAACGCCCTGACGGAGGGTCAGGCAGCCGCAACTTTAAGTCCAGCGGCCGCTCTGGTGTCTACGAAGCTCGGGTCCTGCGGGCTCCACCCAGAATGCTGACACCGCTTTCCCTACCGCGCACACACGCCCTCCCTCCCCACACCATCCCCCCCCCCACACACCACTCCCCCAGCCCCCACACATATTCCCGCTCTCACACACAATCACTCTCTCCCGCACACACATCACTCACACAAATACGGATATCCTTGCAATATTCCCCGCGCCGACGTGGAAGCCATCCCAATGCTGCCTGCCCTGCCTGCCTCCTGTATGCGGTTGCCATTACCCGAAAGCAACGGTCACGTCACCCGCGGCCAAACCTCTTCCTGGCTGTTTAGAACCCCCTTGTTTTAGATCCGCACTATTACCCCTAGGTGGGCCCCCCTCGCCCCCACGCACCCGGAAACGGTAGCCCTCCATCGTGTAGTTGGTACAGGTGCAGAAGGTGACTCCCCAGTCCACACCAGCGCTGTCCTGCACGCCCGGCTCTGTCGTTCCACTCATCCAGCCGGTGTCCTGATTAGGCAGGTTCAGTACGCGAGGCCACGGGGGCCTGTTCGTGGCAGGCCGCTCCGCATTGCTAGCGTTGTCGTACTTGAGCCAGCACTGGCGGTAGCTGCTCGGACGGGGTGAATGGCACATGGGAGAGTGGTAGTTTTGGTGTTGGTGTCCGTTGTTCGTTCATGGAAAAATTTTGATACTATTGAAGTAGGAGGGGGCATCGAGGTCACCTCCTTTACATCATACCGTCTCTTTCCATGCATCTCATGCACATGCCCACCCTTCTTGACAATAGCACCGCCCGATGCTAAGTAGTAGGTACTCTTCATCTGTAACCTTTTTCCATGTGGGAATGAGGTAGCCTTAGCCGTTGGCTAACGGCCACTGGCGCGCCTCCAAGTGCCGGTGCATGGACCCAGACCTTGCGCCATCCAGCGGAGATGCAGCCCCGATCCCCCCCTTTCCATCTCTCTTGTTTTTCTGTTACTTGTTACCAGTTAATCAATAAATCAATCCGTAAAGTGACGTGATCTCAAACAACTAACTAGTTATTCCCTTGGCGGTAGGTACAAAATACGAGAACGTACGTTTCCAGATCGTTGTACTGCTGTGTTGTGAGAGTACTCGCACACCCTGACGGCACGGGGCAGAACACCCACAGGTTGCAGCCCGGGGTGCTAACGCAAGCGTCCCGGCAGTCGCTGGCCGTCATCGTGTCGAAGCGGCGCGCCGCAGCGTCCACTAATACGGCTCCTTCCACATCCCGGTTCACGACAGCCACGAGACGCTCCGGCGGCCTGGCGGCTGTAGCAGAAAGAGGGAAGGCAGAACGCGCGGCAGAGCGACACGGCCCAAGGCCGCACGCGGTTTGCTCGCAGGGCTAAGGTATTCCGCGGGCTGCTACAATAGAAAAGAGCTTAGCACATGTTGAGATACTTTGTTTGCCTGGGGATCAGAATTGCAACTTTCCTTCCGCGACGCGGACTGGAAATCGATGATGTGCGGGAAGGATCGGAAACTCACCGAGCACAGGTTCCGTCGAAAACATGATGGCTGACAGGAGCAGAAACGCCCCAAACCCTAACATGTTTCCTTGTGATTGTTACCACAGTGAAGTTAGATGGTTGTTGCTTGAAGTTTGCTAGAACCAAGCACCAACCTTCGCACCGCACCTATGAGTAGAGAAGCTGCGTGTCGAGGCAGGCCGTTAGCCGTTGGCGAAGTGGTTCCAATGCATGCGGCGCTCCCTTGGACTGGACGGGGAGGTGGGCCCCACTCCCAAAATGTTCTTCCACAGGCGATCACCGCTTCACAGCAGCTGGGACCGTACTTTGGTTAGTCTGATGTGGTAAAAGGTACGTGCTATGTAGCTCTCTTTCTGCTGCGGTTGCTGCGTTGCTCAGGGTTTGAGGCAGAGGCATATCAGCGCATTGATCCCTTTGGCCTGCAGGTAATTCTATCAGCCATCAACAATATAAAACTCTTACACGACAGACCTGATGCAGCGTCTGCTGACAAGACGGCCGCATGAAGACGGAACCGCGGTAACGCACTTCGTTTTTCAGTCCCCGCGAACTCCCCATGGAAAGATATTTCTCTCCCAACGTTGAAGGCACGAGACAAGGGATGGTAGTGCGCTGCTGTCGACGCCAATCCTTACACTTGCATTTCTTGGGGAATTCCCCTTATAAGTTATGATGGCTGGCAAGGAGCAATGCCATGCGCCAAAGAGATAGAATGCCCTACACATGTTACTTTTATCTATCGCGAGCACTAAAACCTCAATTCAAAGCCCATGGGCTGCCTCTATTATGGGGGGCAACGTGGGGTGCACAACGTACGCTATAAACGTAACAGAGAACCCTATCACGCAGACGGCACTCCGGGAGCCCAAAGCGAGAGAACGTGGGGACCATGCCATGTGAGACTATTCCTGTGCGAGGCTTAAGGAAAACCCGCCGCACTAATCCATGGTCCTCGCACCCCCTGCTGCCTGCATGTGTGCACTACCATGCGTCACCCCTCCGGAGCGAGATGGTGCACGAGCATGCTCAAAAGTGACTCTTGACACTTTCTTCGCAAAAAAAGCTGTGGCCTGCAAAAGCATATTGCCAACAATTTGTACGCTGCACACATACATCATACTAGAGCCAAAACGCCCTCGTCATCGCACACATAGTGCCGAATCGCCGCAAGGGCTATGCAAAGCAGCGGTCATTCAGAACAGAATGGCACCAAAAATCTCGGACAAAACCAATTGCAACAACTGTTTGGGGCATAAGGGCCCATGGCCGCCTGCTCGCGTGCCATGCGCGTCCCCAAGGTTAAAAAACCAAGAGCGAGCTCTTAACATATCGCACGAAAAGAATCTTTATGCAACAGCAGGGCGGCAGCATGCCTTCGCTTCGGGGACCCCTGGCGCCCCAGACATGCCCGACACTGCAGCAGCCACTCTCATAACTGGTAGGCATAAGGTCATACCTGCAGCTGCCGATATGACTACTTAACAATGTATATCAGACGACAAAATGTTTGGGACGGAAACCTGACAAACAATTCTTCTAAACAAACTGTGTCGTGTAGCACACGCACACACCTGATGGCACACGTCCATGCCTCATCCACTCTCGATGCAACCCCGAATTCCAAGGCGCGGCTTTAAGACGTGGCAAACTCTCGTTTACTCGGCGTCTCACCGGGTTCTACCATATCCTCAGCCAATCACGAGGACTGCCAGTTGGTGAGGAGCTCGCCATCGCTCCAATTGTTCGAGCCTACACGCCGATCGCCAAAGAGCTCGCACCTCTGTTTTCTTTAGGGATTCACCTGCCCTTAGGCCTTGGCGAACGGGCCGACGCTATCCCACAGCAGTACCTTTTCACAGCCATACAGCCTTGCGACAGATTAGGTGACTACGCAAAAAGGTGTAATAGTTCACTACGCAAAAGCTAGTTTTAGCCGTCGGAAGGAAAACTACAAAAGCGAGGAGCCGAAGGCACCAGACCAAAAAACGCAGAAGCCAACTAAGCAGATTCATCTACCCGCATACATGGATTCCACATTTTCTTTCTTTTTCAATAGGCCATGTAACTCTCAACAACGTGCACAGAGCACTACTTCCTCATGCGGAAGAGGCCGGCAGCAACCCAGCGCCGGCACAGCTAAAACGACCCCTGGAGGTGGTGACCCAGAGCTTATAACGTCAATTCCACACCAACAAAGCCAGGGCGGCGATGCGCACTTAGGGATCACCAGCCAGAGGGTTGTCATGTCCAGCTCACTTTTCACACTCCTTGAGGTCGAGCTTGTTGAGCAGGATCAAGAAGCGCTTCTCGCCCGGCACGCTCCAGACGAAGCCTAGCTCCGCACCACCCGTTACTGGGGAGGCGCCTACTGCGAAGACCAGCAGCTCGCCATCCACCCAACGAGGGCTGCGAAGGTAGGAAAGGAGGCAGTAGGGGACACAAAGGGGACAATCACAATGAGGCAACAGTGCAATTAGGCCATCGACAGTGCCGTCTACTCCACCCAGACCGCACCTGCACGTGTGTTTACAAACGTCATCACGGAATGTCAAAAACATCACACAGCTAGCATGTAAAGCCGTCCTTATTTGACCGATCAACCCATCAGGCCCTTGGCCGCGTCTGCCATTGCCGTGGGTGTACCGTGTTTTAGCTCCGCAATCGCAGTCCATCCAACCCTAAGGTGAACCGGTTACCCGTCTTGCCCCACCCAACGCGTTCTTTCCAAGGCTGACCAGGCTGACCTACTTCCCTGCCTCATTCCGGTCGATGCGGCGCCCTTACCTCTTGTATCCCGCCATGGCGACCCTCCCCTCCCCTTTGTAGCGCGCCACAATGCCCAGCTCGTCTGGGTACACGTCCCGCGAGTCGAGACGGTGGCGACGGCCCACCTTGGCGCGGAACGACACCTCGCCCGCAGGCACGTTGGGGTCACCCGTCACCTTGGTAGCGCACACCACCTCCTCGCCGTCCTGCATCGTACGACTCAACTGGATGAGCTCAGGGCCGTGGGGCCCAAACGCGCCCAGGTACAGGCCACAGAATGGGTCGGAGCGAGGCAGGTCGGTGGGAATGCGTGCATAGGAGATGCGAGTGGCGCCCAGTTGGGAAGAGGTGGGGGAGGAAGAGGATGAGGAAGAGCGCACGGAGGCAGGCGAGGAGGCGGCTTGGAGGCGTGCCGCAGCTGCCGCGGCGGCCTTCTGCGCCGCGATGGCGGCGGGCGACGGCACGGTTGCCGTAGCAGAGGAGGAGCCGTCGGCCGCCAGCTCGCCGTTGACGAGGCGCTGGGCGAGGGTGCGCAGGGCGGTGGCGAGGTGCTCCGGGGGCACACGCCGTCCGGCGCGAGCAGCCTGCAAGCAAGGGCGTGTGGGCCTTGTTATCGACAACTCTTACATGCATCGAGTGGCAGGGCGGCCAGTGGCATGAAGTTGCACCGAACATAAGGATCATTTCCACGACGGGACATTTGCATGCGTTTCTTCATTTGTACTAGGAGTAGCTGTTGCTCCCCAGATAGATTAGCAACATCCGCCGTAGCGGAAACGGGCCTTCACGGCAACCCGATGTTATAGGTGATCATTCACAGTTAAGCCGTGCTGGCCCCTACAATGCTACAATCATGTTACCAGCGCCCTACCAGCCTTCTATGGGCGTGTACTCCGTATCTGACTGACTACTTTCAAAGGGCACCACAGCCCGGTTACAAATTTACCTGCAATTGCGCCACCCGCTCAGCCAGCCTGTCAAAGGTGTCCTTGCTGGCCCTGTCCTTGGACTGCTCAGACCCAGCCGCCGCTGAAGTGCCGGCACCAGCGCCCGACAACCGCCGGTGCTCTTCCGCTTCCCGCTGCTGCTGCCGGATGAGCCGCCCCACTGGAATCTCAATCAGAATGCGCTGCTCCTCCGCGTCCGACACTGACGTGGCCACGGCGTCTAACTTGCCGTATCCTGTAGACAACATGTCGAACGACACACTCAGCGCTCTGTCATCCTCGTCGTCGTCGTCCGCATCCGCTGCCCTGGCAGCCGCAGCGGCCTCGTCCGCGGCATCCAGGAGGGATTGCCCTCCAGTTCCCACGCCGGCCTTCCCAATGTCCGGCAACTGTAGCTCAACCTCCACCACCGGCGCGTCCACGGTAACGGCAGAGGTCGCCGACGCAGCAGTGCGCCGCTGCGATTCAGCGGAAGTGTCGATATCATCGCCGGAGGAGTCATCCTCATCGATTGGCACAGCCGCCCACCGCGACAAGTCCACACTGCTGCCACTGGAGGCTATTAGCTCGTTGTCAACACCGGCCGCCGCAACCGCGACCGCGCGGGCGGCATCGCCCATCTCCTGCTCCAGCACTGTGAAGGTAAAACGGTCACGGCCTTGCATGGCCACTTGCGCCGGGATGCGCGTCAGCTCGGTCAGGACATCGTCTTCATCGCCGTCCTCATCATCGTCGTCGTTGGGACGCTTGGCAGACCCCAGAGCGGCTGCACCACCGGATGGACGCGACCCGACGTTCCCTCGCGGCGCCGCCGGCTTCGGTCCATCACCCTGGGGTGTGATGAAATCAAAGGCAACCCAGTATCCAGTCAGTGGCTAACCCATACGGCAATCGCCAACAAAGATACAGCAGCGGCCGGAGCAGCCCACCATGAGCAGGGGCAGTTTCATCTTGCACCATGCTGCATGATAGCGCGTTTCCCCCCCACCCCAAAAAGCCCTAATATGAACAGCAGACTGCGCTCCTTTGCCCTGCTAGGCTCCCGCTAATAAACGCTTTCCCCCTCAGCCATGTTTACCGTCACCTCAATCTCACCCCCACCTAAGCCACCTCGTCCAGGCAGTGGCTGCTCGCGAATACCTGCGTTAGCTACCCTGCACTGGTTCCCGGCTACACCCACCGCCAGGGCAGCCATCGCAGCGCGCATTTCCTCCTCCTCCCAACTGCTGAACTCCGACTTGATGGGCTTTGGCGGCAACACGCTGATGCGCGCGCTGCCATCACGCGCCACGTGGATACTCAGACGCACCACACTGGCGGGGTTCAGCTGCGTCGCACCGCCCTTGGTCGCGTCCGCGTCCGCGCCCTCGCTGCCCTTCGACCGGGCATCCTTTCCGCCACCTGCCGCCTTTGCAGCCGGTGGCCGCAGAGCCACGGCCTGATGCACCAAAAGGTTCGGCACCAGTTGCTGCTGCTGCTGCTCGCAGGCTGCGGCTGCCACGCCCTGGCCGTCGGTGGCGGGCTGTTGCTGCTGCTGTTGCCGCACAAAGACCTCCAGCATCGGCGTGCCGATCGTGCCGCTGCCCAGGCCGCCGCTCGCGCTCGTGCCCCGCGCCGCATTGCGATCCGTTGCCCTGTCCAGAAGCTGCACCAGCTTGTTCTCGCGCCAGCCGTTCATAGCGGCGATGTCGCGTGCCATGTAAATGCGTCCAGTCCAGCGGCCGAACTCGGGCTTCACGTGCAGCAGGTGGCCCTGGAAGTCTTCGGGACCGTCCTTGCCCGCCCACCAACCCGCCAGACCGACAAGCCCCCGGTCGCGCAGGTCCGCCGCCGCCCCATATTGTTCCGTAGCCAGAGCTTCCTAGCGGGTTATGAACGGGCAAACACGCACTGTGGCGGTCGCGCGACTAGCCATGCAAGCTTCAGCCATTTGGTCGACCCAAATCCAGGAAGCCGTCAGCTTTCGGAAAGCTACTGATTTACTTCTATAACCAGCCAAAAGATCAGCTGCACTATGGTGATAATCTTCACGGGAAGCCTGTTGAACAGGTTGAGCAAGGGGATATCGAGTGCCTGCCGCTCCGCGGTTCGACACGACGGCAAAGTGCCACTCTTCTCACCTGCAGCTGGCGCTGGACCGAAGCCACCGTGTCTGATGACTGAATTTCCTGCAGCTTGCGCTTAAAACGAGCAGCATCTCCATATTGTTCCTGGCGTACGGCAGTGTTCAGCTCGATCTGGACGCGAGGGCGAAGAAAGTATCCACCACCATGTCAGGGGCAACACGTGAAGGACTCAAGAGTAGAGTCCAACCATATATTTCAAGCTGGGAATGAAAGCGCGCGACGGTTTCTCTTGTGCGCGGCGGCGCCCAGGGTGACGGTGCCGTGCGTAACCGGTGCAGGGTTGTGGCTTGTAGGGTCCACCATGGCATTATTTTTGCCATCACGGCATGTACGTGTGTCATGGCGGCAACAACTACCTAGCGGCCTTGCAACTGGGTCATGCAAGTCCTCGCGTAGCCCGTACCAAGGTAGTTTCGCCAAGGGGCCTTGGTCGATCCTGCTCGGGCGCACACAACCCTACCTGGTAGTGGGCAGCGTCTTCCGCCAGCTCGTCCATTGTATCAAAGTGCTTGAGCCACTCATCCCAGCTGGAGCGCGAGCTTGTCTGTAAGAGGTCGCCCGCGTTAACCCTCTCCCGTTCGCCCTTCAGCGACGGCGCCGCACGTGCATGCGAGCTCTCCCTGAACTCAAGTTGTGACGTTGAGTCGCCGATAATTTTAGGATTCAAGGCAGCCGATGCTCCCTACCAAATGGAGGCAATATCGGGACAAAAAGGTAAATATTGTGCTTAGCGCCTGGCAACTTATAAAGTGCTCACAGCCGTCTTTGCCAGATAGGGGTATACGACTCTATACTTAAATACGGTTTACTCGTCTTGCCTGAGATCCGCCGTCCGAGAGCGCTGCGCAGGAGCAGGAAACACCGCGACGCGACAACGCCACCATCGCCGGAAAGGGCCGACAGGGAAGCAAGGGCCTGGGCAGACGTTGAGGACATTGTCCCACGTTGAAGGTGCCAAAAGGCCGGCGCGCTGAAGGCCAAGCTACGCGGTCCATATAGCCGACCTGCAAACATTAATCCGCAAGCAGTTCAGGCAGGCCGTAGCAGTCAGCAAACGCCCTGCGTAACACACTCTTAACTTGTACAAACCTAAAGATGGAACCTATGCAGGACCGGCACGCTACAACTTTGAGTCCGCTGAGCTTTGTCGATAGCCAGACCAATTTCAGGACCTCCCCGCGGCCGGCTCGCACGAGGGCTTCCAGTTGCCAAGATGCATATCTCGACACAATGCATTCCGTAGCGGAGGCGCGGCGTATCCGTCCTGGTCCAAACTTACCTAAAGGTTTGAGGATAACGTATGTCACCTTACGGTACCAGGAGCGGATGAAGAAACAGATAAACAAATCTACTTTTTCCTTATGCGTTGGTTTTCAAATAAAACGAGGTCAGGGTACACCTGTGATTCCCACAGGATAACTTTGCTCAGGTCCTCTGCAAGGAAGAAGGCGTTCCAAAGCACAGGACAGGATTACAGTCGCGGCCAAGTATCAAAAAGTCTTTCACCGCGTCGCCAATTGGTAACCCGCATGAGAGGGCACAATTTACAACTTCATCAGGGCGCCGTACCATCCTTTCGAGGCAACCGTTCAAGACCTTCATGGGTAACTGTTATACCGTGAAATACTATCCACCTACTCCGATCGAATCAATGCTTATATTCCAGTAACGACAGCCGGGGGAGGGCACATCTCTACGGCAGCACCGGCCGCATGCCGAGCAGTCTGTGCACCAGCGCCAGCTGGATGCAGGCTGAGAGCCTCGAGTACAATCTTCGCTACCCGTGCGACGCTGTTATGGTTTTGCCCCGTAACCAGGACGCCATCGCGCAAGGCGTTCTCCTCGTTAATGTCCGCGCAGCAAACATTGGCCCCAAGCTCCTTAAGTTTTGACTCCAGCTGGAATGGCATTGAACCTGGCAAGGGATTTCGAGGGCATCATTTGTTAAGCAGATTTTGCCAAATGCCATAAACATTGGACAGGCGCCCCTTGTCGGGGTCCGAGAATGCTCGGGGGTGCCTAAGCGTCCCACATCGGCACATTCCCTAGCCCTGGAAAGCGCAGCCAGTCAGCTGTTGTAGCTGAGCGCTCATCCGCCTTAATTGAAAGCTACCCTAATATACCTCGGTGCCCCACCGCTAACCTGCAGCACCCGTCTTCTCCTCCTCTGCCTGGCTAAAGCACGCAATCGTCTTTCCTGCCACGAGCGGCTTGCCGTCGGCGTCTTTAGCACCAAGCAGGCCCGCGGGCCCGTGGCAAACCGCAGCCACCAGGCGACCTGCAACCACGCTTTGAATATGCATCATGAGGAGGCACCACACCAAACTAAGGGGCGCGTAGGCATAGGCGCAAGCAAACTTGTGCAGCGTTAGAAACCACGTGGATAAACACCTATGCAAAGCGGTATGCCCTCTTGTTCCCTACACGGGGACCAAGCACGGGGTAACATACATGGCGCGTACCGTGCATGGCCGCTTCGCCCACCACCGTGGCCAGCTCGGAGCTGTGCGGCATGTCGCCCATGGCTCCCTGACCTCCCGCCAGGAAGATGCAGTCGTAGGCGGCGGGCTGCTTGACAGATGACACGGCCACCGACTCGCGTAGCTGCAACATTGCCGCCTCTAGAGGACGGTGGAAATGCAAAAGGGAGGGGGTTAAAAGCAGATGTAAGGGAATATAATGCAAGGAGCGACAGGCGGCAGATCAGACGATGAAAAGAATAGCTTGGTAGGAAAAACGGGACGCGGAAAAAAATCCCGACTAGCACGAACGCAAGCGCCACATACTAAGGTGATCGAGTGTGGGGATCAACGGGCAATCCATGCGCCGCAGGTAATCATGGTGCGATAAATAAGAGGTGTGGTCGGACGACTTGCCCTTCAGATACCTGATACCATATCAGGCTACCTCCTGAGCCCAGTTACTGAGAGCCAGAGACGCCAGCCCGGCTTCCGCCCCAGTCTTCTCATGAAAAGTACTCAATTAGACCTACCACTCTCGCAGTGCAATCAGACGCAACTTTGTATCGCACATGCAAGCGCGGTCGAGCCACCAAGGCAGTGCACTGCACCGCAAACCGCACACCCACCATCCGCAAGGAACCGGCCCAGCTCCGGGTGCCGGGCCTTCTCCGCGTCCGTGAGACCAGCCTGGTCGACTGGAATCTCCCCCCCCGCCAGGCTGCACAGCGTCACATCGTAGCCGCCATTGCGGAATATGTAGTACGGTACGGCAACCTCGCTCAGCCTGCGGAAAGACGGGTGCGGGGTGCGTTAAGATGCGAGGGTAACGACAGCATGGGCAGCAGCGGCAGCGGCGGCGGGTGGTTTAGGAAGCGGCCCGCGAGCGAGGTTGCGAAATGCGAGGGGGTCCGCAGGGCCCTTCCCTGCCCTTCCCTGGCCTATGAGCCGTGTCGTTACAGTCCTCAGGACGTGAGTGATTTCGAGGTGATTACAAGAGCAGCTGTGTAAGGTTGCGGCCGAGGTGTGTGAAGAGGCGCGGGATGCACACCACGCAGACGGTGCGCGCGTCGCGGAAAGCCATTGCTCGCTTGGTTCTCTTGCTGCGAATTTTCGGTGCCGGCAACAGCGGCTGCTGTAGTCAATGCCGGCGACGGCAGGGGCCCGGCGGCGGCAGAGGCGGCGGAACCACGAGCAAAGAACGCCGACTCGCCAAATTCATTCGTAGTCCGTAAACGGTATGTAATACGTTTTTGCTACTCATACGCATGAGAAATTTGCAATGCTTTCGGCGCCTAAGCCGAACGCTGGATTGAACCAGCCTGGCCTGCCCGCCTTTACAACATTGTGCAGCACACCGCCAAGACGCACTAGCAGTACGCACGCGCAATCCGAGAGAGAGCGTGGCGCGATTACAGGTAGCAAGATATCACGCAAATTGAGCACACAAATTCAGCCAGGCCAACCTATCTTACCAAACGCCGGTGTCCTTCCGATTGCCCACGGAGCTGCAGGAGGTGCAGATCAAGAGCACCTGGCCCTTGACCACGGCATTCTTCATCAGCTCGTGCTCGTGCATGGCTATGGACGCAGCTTTTTGATTCAATATAGACGTGCTCCGGAAACAAGATGACGAAGTTCACAGCTTTCCGGGACCCCTGGGTCGCAATAAAACCTTTTGCAGATCTATCCCTGCCTAACGCACAAGCCGTAAAGATGCTTAGCGTGCTTGCGATGCAAAAAAATTGTTAAGACAAAGGGATCTTTCGTAAAAGATGAACAGATGTATTGCGTGGACCCCCTAAGGTACGACTTTGTTCCCTGACGGAAGAGAATTTACCTGTCCAATGCTCCCGGATTTAGGAAAACGTAAGGCAAAGGTGTCATAGGTAGCTAATGGTTTGCATGCCTTCTGAAACATATTTCATATTAGGAAATTGCAATCATGAGTAGTGGCGAAAGCCCCGGAGTGGCGGAGCCATCGGGCGCAAGACTGCATTTGGGTCCAAAGCTGTCATCGCTCCCACGCAGCCTGCGCAACTTACGTCGGGGGAAATCTTCAAAACAGGTCAGATCATTTTTTTGTTGATAGGACCGTCATGGAAAAGCTCACGCTGACGCGCACTTGAGGAAAACGCGATTGAACAGCCAAGGCTTGGGTGACCCGGGGGACCGCCGCCGGCAAAGTAGTACCTTGTTTTCTTTCGGACGGATTTTCCTCACCTGCAAAGGGCACAGCTGAAGGTACCTGATATCTCTTTCCTACAATCAATTAAAGAATGTTGGATTTGCATGTTTGTGCGCAGGATTTTGTACTCTTGAACGGGCAGCTTTTTGGCCCATCGCTTCCTGATGACGCAGCAGCCCTCCGTGTTGTGCGTGTGGGAGGCGGCTCCGCTCTGCGACGATTGGGACGCAGCCTGGGCCGGGGAGGCAGCCAAGCCAACAGAGAGCTTGATGCGCTACCAACTTACAATTTAATGGGGCATCAGCACCAAGGGCCATCTTCAACATCTCTACCAGTATTATTATCGGCATCATCATCCCCAGAATCGCCATCAGGAGGTGTTCTTGCGGTTTGGAATGGCCCGGTGCTGCTGGTCTCGAAGACTATTCACCTTCACAAGGGGGCCCCAAAGGAGGTGAGGAAATCGGGCGGCCATACAAAGCAACTAAAAGTACACAGTAAAGTTGTTTACGATTTTTACGGGCTGAGAAATGAATTAAGATATAGAAGAGTGACGTTACAGCGAATTGTTGATTTGCCAACATGGCTAGTAAATTCGCCTTAATTAAGCTCTGGATCTAAATTAATGTTAAAACGCAGCTCTCATAACAATAATCACAACGCCTGTCCTTTAGCCTCGGCCCTGCGACACACGAAAAAGCGCATCCCGCATATTTCCCTGGGGAAACTCCTCCCACCATGCTCGCAGGCTTTAGTAAACTTCCAGCTTCAGTACACCACCGTCGCCGCCGGCTCGTCTACAGCCGATACGGCCCCAACTGCTGCTACAGCCCCGGCACCAGAAGGTACTACCGGGGTAGTCGCGGCGTCCGGCGCATCATCGCCGCCGTCGCTGGCGGCGCCGTCCTCAGCTGCGGTACGGCAGCCGCCACCGTCGGATTCCGAGTGGCGGGTGGTGCCTGGCGTTGTGGCTGACGCCAGCTTGGATCTGGCGAAGTATCTCGACTCCAGGGAGACGGCGCCGGACAGCGCGGAGCTGACGTGGCCCATGAGTCGTACATATTGGACGAGTGCCGACGGCGCGTCGTCGTCGTGCAGGGCCTCAAGCTATGCGTTGAAGGTGCGATAGGGGTGCAGCGGCAGCGGTAACGGACGTCGCTTGTGACGTGTGCCCGGAAGGCAATGGACCCACAACGCCCCGAAAAATCCGTCTGGCAAGCGTTATGAAAATGAAAAATATATTAAAAGATAATTATTTTTTTTGGCCCCCGCTTTTTTTATCCCCCACCCGGGAAAGCACCGAGGCAATCGCAATAGCTGGCAAGGTGGTGATTCTATCGGCACAACATCGCTTGATGTTGTCGTTGTGTGACTGTATCTCTTGACACCCACGAAGCTGAGACTCGCATTTCCTTGCACGGGATCCCCTCGTGCTAGGAGCACGAATGTTTTGCAGCCTGCTGACCTTTGACCGTTGGTTGTTGGTCGTTGGTTGTTGGTTGTTGGCAAAACCGCAGGTTTTCGTGGTACGTCTGGCTCCGGAGAGCAGGGGCACGGGGTTGCGGCCTTTCCTAGGCGAATCAGGTACGACACCCCCAGGTTTCCCTAAGGGTTTTAATTATACGGAGGCATGCCGTCGCGTTTGCTAATAATAGTAAAATTAGCAAAAGCGACGGCATGCATGTCAGACGTGCTGAATTTCCCTTCGCTCTGCTGCTGTTGCTGCTGCTGTTGCTGTTGCTGCTGCTGCTGTTGCTGCTGCTGCTGCTGCACCAGCCCCAGTCGTCCCCGCGTGCATATATACGTATGTATGTCTGTATACTAATTTGCGTAGTTTCGTATTGTCATGATGAGCACCGACACGTATCGTGGTGCTGCTTCTCTTATATAATTCTGCTGTATTTGCTACCGCCGCTGCTGCTGCTGCTAGCACTAGCTCATTGTGCCGTATTGCCGTACTGTCGATCCTGCAGGCCGCACCAGGGTGCCGTGGTCCTCGGTAGTGTCGGTTGTGTAGCGGAACCAGCTGGGAAAGGCCAGCTTGCCTGTGCCGTACACGCACTAACTAGCCCACCCCCACCTCAATCCACCCCTGCCATCCGCCACCCCTGCCGGCGCAGCCCTGCCGCGGCCCCAGTCCGGCGGCCTGGTCCTGCCCACCCTGGAGCTCGACAGCCCAGCCCCACAGGGCACCCCAAGATCCCACAGCCGCAGCCGCAGCCGCAGCCGCAGCCGACGTCGCCTGCCGTCCCGTACCGGCTCCGCCAGGTCTGACGTCACGACTGCGTCGCTGCCGCCGCTGGAGACCGAATATCCCGCGGCGGAGGTGGAGGCGGGAGTAGTGGAAGAAGAGGCGGTGGTGGCGGAAGAGGCGGCGCCATCGCGGCCCGGGCTGACAGACGCCGAGATGGATCGTATCATCTATGCGACTGTTGGTACGGCAGTCGCGGCTCATGAGGTTGCGGCTGTTGCGGGTCGCGGGGCGGATGTCTGCACACGGGAGCCGGAGGCACTGGTGGCGGCGGCGCGGAGCTCCAGCGAGGTGGCGGGTGCAGGGGGCCCCAGCGGCGGGGACAGCCAGGACGCTGACGCCGCTGCAGCGGCGGCCGTGGCGCCAGCGGCGGCGGCGGCGCCTCTTAGAGTGTCGCCTAATGCCATGTTGCGCGCGCTTCAACAGGCCAGCCAGCAGCTGCCACTGCCGCCGGGACACGCGGCGCCGCTGCACCCCGCAGCCATCGCTGCAGCGGAGGCCGTCGCCGCCATGACGGCAGCCGCAGCCGTCGCCAGCGGCAAATTCAACAGCGCCGGCAGGATGCGCTCCGGTCCTAACCCCGCGCGGTCTTTGGTGCCCAGCTCCATGCCGACGATCACGATTCGGTCCGCCGGGTGCCCATTGGAAAGCCCCTTCAAAAACGGACCAGGGGCCCCGGAGGAGGCGGCGGCGGCGGCGGCAACGAATGTCAGAGATGGACGGGTTGCGTTTCTGGGTCCAGACGCCGTTCAGGCTGACGTGATGGGAGATTCACTGGAATTCGACGTGGAGATTGCGCCGCGGGATCACCCGATTGTGGGCTCCCTGGAGCTCAGTTCCGGCAATCGCATGAGACCCGAGGACGTCGGCGCCGCCGCGGCGGCGGAGGCGCTGTTTGCCGCGCGACAGGGCGCGGCGACGCCGGTCGTGCTGCCGGTGCTGGGCCGCTGCGGCAGCGGCAGCTTAGGCCAGCGCAGGGGCCGGGCTGCAGCCGCCGCTGCAGCGGCGGCGGCGCCGTACAGCCCTCACAATTCGGGTTCCGTCAGCGCACCTAGCAACTCTGTGGGATGGTTGGTTGGAGCCCAAGAAGCTGTACGGGGCGTCGGCAGCGGCGTCGGCAGCGATGGCAGCGGCAGCGGCGCCGGCGGCCCGGACGACGCTGGCATATCCATGTTCAGCGACCTGGCAGCGCCGCCGGCAGGGCCGTACAGCGCGGGTGCTGGTGGCGTCGGCGTCGGCGTTAGTGGCCGGCGGGATGCTGTCGTGCTGAGAGGCGGCCCACAGGCATTGCCGCAGGGGCAAGTAGACATGGTGGCCCACGGTACGGCGGCGGCGGATGACGCGGCGCAGGCGGCGGCATCCGTTGGCGCTGGCGGGGCTGGATTTTGGGTCCTACACGGCGGCGATGCCGGGGGGGGATCAACGCCACGACCGCTGCTGCATGTGCCCTGTACCCCCTTGGCGACAGCGCACACGGCAGCGGTGGCGGCGGCAGCTGCAGCTGCGGCGAATGGCGGAGGTATTGGTAATGGGGGCAACAGCAACAGCAGTAGCAGCGGTGGCGGCACCGTCATTGACAGTGGCGGCGGTCGGCGTACGTGGGTCTCACGGGGCTCGTACGGCAGCGGCGCCAACAACGTTGCCGACAGCAGATGTGGGTTTGGATTTTTGGAAGAAAGAAATACCGGATCTTAAATCAACGGGGGATGATCGGATCCAAAGGAGTTGGATCCAAATCACCTTCCCTAGAGCAGAAATGACGCAGCTAGGGCGTAAGGGTCTTCTTGCGGCTTCTTAACAGGCATGCATGCTTACGTACGTACATACGTGCATACATACGTACATACATACGCTGCGGGACGCCAAGAAGGGTTGCTCCAGGGACCAGGCGAGCAGGCAGGTGTGCTCGTGACCGCCACTGCCGCCGCTTGTGCTATGTCCTGTATGTGTGGATGGCGTTCTCCTGCGGCGGCCCGATCTCCCTCAGCTAAGCTAAGCGAACAAGAACCTTTTTTTTTGGCTACACCCATACACATCGGGCCGGCCGTTGTGCACAATGCCCTCGGTGACAGTACAAATAAGGTTTATCGAGTCTTTTGGATTTCCTGATTTCCTCATGCTGCGGCAACTTAAAAACTGAAGCCGTTGTCCGTTGTCCGTTGTCCGTTGCTGCCGCCTCTTCGCACCTGTCGATGGCCAACTGCACCGCACAGGCACTGGGGCGCCCTACCCCGCTCCCAGTAGCGGCCTGGCCATCAAGCCCAGCGGCGAAATCACCGGCGTACTGGACCTCTTCCCACAGCCCGCCGTCGACCTGGGGCCGACTCCGCCACTCTCCTCCCTCCCGCCGTCACCTCGCCACCCGCTGCTGCCGCCGCATGCAGCGTCGGTATACGACCTGTACGACACAATCACGCCGCACCGCAGCGCCGCCGTGGCTGCTGCGGCAACCGTCACGTCGACCTCAGAGGCCCCGCCGCTGTCGCCGCCGCTGCCGCTGCCGCTGCCGTCGTCGCCGAGCGGCGATGTCGGCGTTGCCGTCGGCCCGGCGATGGCGCTCTCCGGCTTCGAGGTGATGCGCGCTGTGCTGTCCGGGGACCCGGAGGCCATTTCCAGGGCAGCAGCCGCCAAGCTAGAAGCGGAAGCGGAGGCCATGATTTGGGTCGGAGCCGCAACATCAACATCAACATCAACACCAACACCAACACCACCAGTTTTGAGCCCTGAGGTCGACTCTGCGGATGTAGAGCAGTCGGCGTCGGCAGCAGCACCGGCTATTGTGCCGACGCTGGGTGTCGTACTCAGCGTTCCGGCAGCAGGCGGCAGCGGCGCCGTCGAGGAAATCACCAGTGCTGATGGCGGTAGTAACAGCTACGACAGTGGCGGCAGCGCCGGCAGCGCGGGCAGCGGCGGCAGCGCCGGCGGCAGCACCGCCGCCGTCACAGCGGCAACAGCAGCAGCAGTAGCACCGGCTCTGGCTCTCGCCATGGGTACGGCAGTAACATTAGGTGGTACGGCGACGGACAGGACGCGCAGCTTGCCATCGCCGGGTCCCTACAGGTTGCGCGCCGCGCGCTCCCGGCGGTCTGCCGTACGGCGCCAGGCGCATTCCATGCTGCGCCCGCTGACCTTCCTAGAGCCGGTACCTGAGGGCAGCGAGATCAAGGAGGGGTCGGGCCCGCTGCCTGTGGCGTTCTTCTCCCCGCTGCCCTCGCCCACGGGTGCCGACGCCGACGGAGGCGGCGCTACTGACTTCTTCTCCGCGCCAGGGTTTACGTACGCCGCCGCGGGGTTGCTGGAACCAGAACCCCCCGGCATCAGCCCGAAGCGGGCGGAGACAAGGGACTCCGAGGCATTTTTAGATCAGCCCGCCCGCCTGCAGCGACAACAGCAGCAGCAGCAGCAGTGGTGGCGGGCGTGGCATCAGCCGCTGGAGGACGCTGCGGTACCGACGTCAACGTCGCCGCTGGGCGATGCCGCGGGCCGGGCTGTGCAGAGAGGCGGCCCGGCGGCGACGGCGACGGGTGCGGCCTCCGCGACGGCGGAGGCGACGGAGGCTGCGGGTGCGGGTGCGGATGCGGCGGACGCGGCACAGCTGCTGCGGTGTACACTACTGCCCGCTGCCGTGAACCACACGGACCACTGGGTGGCGGCGCCGCGGGCCGTTCCTGTCCGTGACATGGCGGTCTTGCGCGCGCAATACGCTGTGGCAGCGGCGGAGAAGGATTACGAGGCGGAGGCGGAGGAGGACGGGGAGGGGGAGGGTGTGGAAAAGCGACTGGAGGCTACGGCGGCGACGCCGCCATCGGCAGCGGCGGTGGGCTGCAGTACCCCCGATGCGGATGGGGAGGGGGACACGGCGGCGAAGGCGGCGTCGAGCCATGGGTCTGAGAAGGCGGCGGAGGCCGAGCTGAACGAGCTATTAGCGATGATTCCGGGTAGTGATAACGGCGGTAGCGATAGCGACGGCGGTAGCGGCAAGGTCGGCTCCAGGGAGGCTGGGGGGCAGCAGCCGATAACGCTGACGACGGCACGAACAGAGCTTGCGGCGGCGGAGAGGGGCAGGGGTACGACGGCTGCGGCAACGGCAGCGGGAATCAACGACGCTGGGGGGGGCGGCAGTATTGTTGACGTCACTGGCCGTGGCGGCGGCGACGGGGACGGCGACGCCGCGGAGGGTGGCCTGGGTGCTGTGGCTGGAGTTCCCTGGAGCATTCTGGCTGGCGAAGGGCGCCTGGAGCTGTTATCGGAAATGCGCAGCAGCGGAAGTGCCGCCGGCGGCGGCGGCGGCGGCAACGGGGAGCCACCGCTTCCCGGGAGCTCCGACATGGACCCGGTTGCTAGCGTTATCACGGACCCACGGGTCGCCAATGCCCTCAGCTACTTACCTGGCATCACACACGGCGATGTTTACAACGGCGCCAGTCACCGAGCGATGGCGTCGTTCGCGGCAGGATCCGGATCTGAATCCTCCAACGCATCTTCCGCAGATCCGGGTCCAACTCAAGATCCAGATCCAGCGCCGTACAATCTCCGGCACCGGGCCGCATCGCCGCCACTCTCGGGCTCGCTGCCCCTGTTGGATCCGGAGGCTGGGCCACAGCTCGGGACGCTGGCCATGTACGCGGCCGCTCCAGCCGCTGACGCTGACGCTGCCGTCGCCGCCGCCGGCCTTCCGTACATGGCGTTGTCCGGTGCTGTACGCATGATGATGCCGTCGTCCGGGCAGTCGCCGAGTGATCTGGATTTGGAGGCACTGCTGCGGAGGTCGCGGCGCGCCTCCAGTTCGGAGGTCCTTCCCGGTCGGTTCCTCTCAGCGGGGGGGATGCAGCTGGCGGAGGCCGTGGCGGGGGCGGCGCCGGCGCCGGAGTCCCCAGGCCGCGCCGCGGCCGCCATCCGCAGCGCACCCGCGGGTTTTCGCAGCTGCCACCATCTCGGTGGCGGCGGCGGCACGGTTGTCAGGCCAGCCGGCAGCGCCGCCACTGGCTTTGGCTTCGTCGGCGGCATGGAAGCACCGGCGGCGCCGCCAGGCAGCTTGACGGCGCTGTCACCGGCGAGCGCGAGCGTGTTAGCTGCGGCGATGCTTCGCAGCGGGGAAGAAGATATAGTCGCGCCGCGGGGGGTTGGCGCGGGGACGTCGGCGGCTGCGGGAACAAGGGCGCAGCGGCGGTGGGGGCGGCGGCGGCTGCGGCCCGCCCTCCGTGAGGGGTGGCCGGGCTGGTGGCCGCTGGCCCAGCTGGAGCAGGCGCTGGTGATGGTGGCAGCGAGTACGGTATGTACGGCAACTGAACTGTTGGAAGGTAAGGAGCTGTTGCTGCTACCCCCATGGGCTACCCGTCTAGCTCTCGTGTCTGCTTCCATCGTCAGTGGTTCGTCCTAACCGCCGTGTGCACTGTAGGGCGCGGGAGATCACCAGCTGTGAAGGGGGGGAGAGTAGGAATCCGAGGAAGGGACATTCATCTGCTTGCATGTGATTATGTATGTATGTAAGATTCATATATCCACTCTGCACCGCATACACACATACATACATACATACCGGGTATCAGCAGCAGCATGGGGATGAGTATCCCAACCACCGCGCTACCACCGCTAAGAATCGTGGGGGGAGTGCATTCCGAAACAATCATCTGGAGACCTGCTCCCGGGGTACCTCTTGTGTGTCATTTTCGCGCGTTTGCTCGTAGTCCACCCCAGCCCAACCCCCTTTCCGCATGTCCCCCCCATAGAAGCGTGTCCGCCTCTCGCGCCATGCGCCCCCGGCCACATCCCGATATATCCCCGAGCTGATTGCCATTACCAGCTGCTCCTGCTGCTGCTGAACCCGCACTAGAATTATAATATTTTAATGTTGGATTTTTGAATATGTAGGCATTGGCCAGGGCAGGCCGCCCGTGCCGTACGGCCCCGAGGAGGGCCTCGTTGCCGTACCGCTACTGCGACCTCACGCGACCCTGTGGGCGCACCTGCACTGGCCGCTGGCACCCGCGTCCAGCGTCATCTGGAGGGCGGTGGTGGCGGTGACGTGTGCGGTGATGGCGGTGTTGGAGATTGTTCGGGGCTGGCTTGGCTGGCCGGGCCTTATCCCCGTGCCGTAATGGGTGTACGAATAAAGGTAGTCGTTAAGATGCGTCGTGTAGTGATGTTCCTAGCTAGCGAGGTTGCAGGTTGAGGACGAGGCCCAGGGGGGGCTCCGAAACCAGCAGGTACGATTGCAGGAAGAACTTACCACCATCAAAAACCAGGGAACTCCAGCATGAAGGTGTGCGTGGGTGGGGGTGGGTGCCTTCTCGTGCCGTTACTCGCGTCCTAGGGCCGTCCGCTACGGGGTGAAAATGCCGATGGTGGTGCACGAATACCTTCATTGATGCGAGCTATATGTGTGTGTATGTGTGTGTTTCAAGGCGGGGTGACTAACTCCCCGCAGATGTCAAGGGGCCCCACATGAGGGTACTGGAAGGGGATGGGCCTGGGGGAACCCTACGAGGGGTGCTGGAAGGCGGGTTTACACCTTCCATCCTTGCACCCAGTAGTGGCGTCTGTGTGCTTTAATGGGCTGAGCCGCGAGAGAGCCGTGTGGAGTACATCATACACGATGAAGAGGAGGTCAACACGTGCGTAACTTTACCGATTACGAGTAGTAGTCCAGTAGTGAAGCAGTGGTGGAATTAGTAGTTGCTGTAGAGGCAACATGGACGACTGCTGGGCGGTGGAGGGCTAGAGAGAGAGAGCTTGTGTGTGCGTCTGTGTATGTGTATGTGCGTGCCCTTAAATGATTAGCCCGGGGAAATGGCGAGGGGGTGTTGGTGGTCCAGGAATAAGTATTTGCCGAAGCAAGCTCCGTAACTTGTGCGTATGCGTATGCTTGCAAGTGCGCTGGGGGCCTTTTTGGATCTGCAATCGCATGCATGCGTGTCTGTCTGTCCGTCCGTCTGCCCTGGCTGTCACGACGTCTGTCCGCGGCTTCTGTAGCCGTCTAAGCGTGCTGGTCCCATGTCGATCCATCTCATTAAAGGGCCGCAGCCGGGAGCGGACCCTGGCCGCCTGGACCTACACTTCGCAGCCGCTTGACTGCGGGCCTGCTTTTCTGGGTCTTCAGGAGCTTTCCAAACAGCTGCAGCGGCAGCAGCTCTGCCACGGCGGAAGCCGCGTGCTGGCCCGGAGGGGGGAGATCGGGGGGGACGGTTAGGAGGGGGGCACACGTCAGCGCAGCAGACGGGGGAGAGAAGGTTACGAACGCTTTTGCAACGATCGAATACATGCGCGTGTTGTGGGGAAATCAAATGCAGAATAGATGAGCATGAAACTTTTCGTACGCTGGAATTTGCTGTTGAGGGGTAGGTGAGGGGCAGAAACGGATTTACGACTGTGGCATGGCGTAGGAATGGCGGCAGCCTACTCCTGCACTGTGGTGTGGTATAGGACGGCGTGGTGTGTGACCCGCCTGCACTGCGACTGCCGTCTCATAATAGCACATAAGGCTTGAGTTCGACTGGGGGCCGTGCGTGCTTACTTACAGACATCGTAGCAAAGCTGAGGGCAGTTGTAGTTAGTTGCCGTTCGTAGGCATAACGCATTATTACACTGGGGTTTGCTCGCCGTACTCCAGGATTTGCTCGCAATTGTTGTGGTATGCTCCTGATGTTATGTTTTTAACAACATTAAGAGGGGCAGCTCCAGGGAAATCTGCCAGGGCCTCCCGAGAAATAACCCTGCGTACTTTTGACGGTACGCCTTTACTCTGCGCCCAGGTGCGTGGCGCCGACCCCCAGCTGCGGGTTGCTGAGCCCCTCCCAAAAACTTAAAATGCTCGCTGGCGGCATGTGGGGTGGCTGTATACAGCCGGGTCGTCAAACCAAGTGCCAGCCTCCCAGCCATACGTAGTTAGCGGGCATTTGTGAGTGATGCGTGCATAGTTCACTAGGGTTATCACCAAGCAGAGGAGGATGTCGCCGTACGTTGAAGTCAGCTGTGGGGGCCTTAATGTGCGTGTTGACATGGGCCCTATATCCCCGGGGTAAGACGACAATCCCATTCACTCCAGCGGCGTTTCCCTAGCCCAGCGGCGTTGCCCCAGCATCAGACCTTTCACAAGCACAAGAGGTGGTGGTGATAGCGGCCGAGCAACAACACTGCATTGCCTCCAGGAGCTCGGCGATGCCTTGCCGCTCATGCTTGGGGTGGCTCCACTAACACGCAACCTGTGGCAGCTGTGTCCAAAAGGTGCGGTACGGACAATGCTATCAGTGCAAGAGGTGGTCCTGAGGATGCCGGAGCACTCGCGGGAAGCATCCACACGAGGGGGGCTAGGGGGGCAGCAGATGCCGACGCTGTCGGCCATACATGATGCAGCTGGTGGCGGCGGAGGCAGAGACAGCGGGACACTCGTGCCCGCGCCATCTCGGCACCGCGGGATGGTTTTGGAGCCGCCGAAGCCGCCTCCTCCAGGACGATAACGGTGATGTGGGCGGTTCTCGGCTGCAGGCTTCGCTGCTTCGGTCTGAATCTCTGCCGCAGCAGATGCCGCCACAGGCCTCCGTACTAATACATTTACATGCGGACCAGCAAGGTCCTCCTCCTCCACCACCACCACCGCTGCCGTCGCCGCCAACATCACCTCAGTGGCAGCAACAGGAGCAACTGTTGGTGCCACAAGACAAGCAGCTCATACACATGGAGCAGCGGCAATAATCCGGGTGCATACCCTGCTATGCACTCAACTAGGTGGGGGTCCCACTAGCCGGGTGCCGCCTGCCTGCCCCAGATCTTTGACCGTGGGCCATGTGCTGCTGTTATAAACGCTTGTCCAACTCAAAGAGGGTCGCTAGTCCCACCCTCCAGGATGGGAGTCAACGTAGCCCCGATGCTGTATCAGATGTCGTTCTGATGCATTTCTTAGGTTATATCTCTATCTCGGACAGCACAGCCCTAGGTTGGCCCTTGGGCCTCCGGATCGTATGGGCCCGTTACATTTTCGGAGAGTAAAACGCAACCCAGAAGGTGTAACACACACACACACATATACACACACATACACATGTATATTGAAAGCAAACGAGCGCACCGCGGTTGAGCGACCCCACCAGCCTTCTGACGGACGCTCGTAATGTGTGCCGATGAGTTGTACACATGCCAAGGCGAGGGGGCGGGGCTGCTGATGGACAAAATCCGCCGTCAGCGTTGTGGGTCTATTGCTAGCATTTTGGACATGAAATCTATATATTGCACAATGCTTTCTCACAAGCTTCTTGCACACCTAGGTGTGCAGTCTGAAGTGAATGACGCAGCCAACATCGTTCGGTGCCTCACGTCTGCCTGCTATGTTTAGGAATGGAAAATAATCGGAAAGGGTGGCAAATTAATGGAAGGAGTTACAGTGGATGCACTAAGCCTGTCTATTTGGGAAATGCCGCAAGTCACACGGGGAAGGTCACATAGGGCGTATCAGCTGCAGGGTTTGGCGTCGCGGTGTACAAAAAAACTACGTTCGTGCAGATGCAGGAGTGCGGAGACGGTGCTGAAGCCGCATGCTTGCGTCCCCTATAGCTGGTTGTTGTTGCATACATCCTGCCTGCGGCTCCCAGATTAAATTTAACGTAACCCCCTCAATTGAGCAAATTCTATAACAAGCATCACAAAATGTGGATGCGCTCACCAGACTGCGGGATTTACTTCGGAGCAATCCATCGTCTATCGTACATTTTAATTAACAGATGAGTGAGGTACACTAGACTGTAGATACCCTTGTTTTCTTTGGTTTGGGAAGCCTCTAGAAGTGTGCGCGCGTGGCTATCAAACTTTGTAAGGTGGATATTGTTATTTTTTGTAGCCGTAAGTGTTAGTTGAAAGGCAGTCCAAGGAATGTTACTACAAATGCTATAACTGAACCTAATCCGACAAAAGTATCATATGCTCGCTGGGCCGCGGCCTCTGCCGCACTGATTGTTGACCAAAGCAGGCTTCCCTGTTCCGACCCTCATCCTGCACTGGCAAGCGTGCTTCTTACCCTTGACCAGGCACTTTTGGGCTCCCTCCTTCTCGCTTGTCACCCAGTTTAGTTAGCCAAGTTTAGCTCAAGGGTGGTATCCTGGAGAGTGTTTCTGAAATGCGTCTGTTAGTGTCTGTTTAAGACTAGCAGGCAGGGAGGACAAGACCGGCCTATCTTCCTGTGCTGGAAGTTATATGGCCTGAACTGTGTTTGGCCTCCTTAAACGAAACACTTTGATTTGCCGGGTAGAGTAAACCCCGCTGGCCTATCGAGGGAGAGGCTGACATAAGTATTTGAAGCAACTTTCCTGGCATGACCTGGAAAACATATAGCATTTATGGGATTTAGGTGCATGTGCGTGAGCCAGATACATGACCGGTTGGTTACGCAAAAACAGCTTCAGAGTTGGGTGGGCTTGCATAGGCGGTAAATGTGCAATATCCGTGCCGCCCACGTAGTACTTAGTGCGTTCTGGATACAGTTAGCAGTGCATCGTCGAAGGCAAAGGAAAGGTAGCAAACACCAACCTCAACGCAATAAAATAATTGCGCTCCCAGACAGGCTTGAACTGCCGACCTTGCGGTTCCGCTGCTTAACAGCCGCACGCTCTACCGACTGAGCTATAGGAGCTACCTCGGGATACACCCGAAAGGTCTTGCGGATGCTAAAACTTTTACATAGCCATTAAATATATGCAGCATAGTTGAAAGGGATTGCCATATCGTGCGCCGATACGAGTTTGGTATCATCCATTGAGTTGCTGGTTCGTTCTGGTCATAGCGCGTGTTTGTGGCGGAAATTACCGAAAAGGCATGCGATACCTATAGCACGCAGCCCTCCTGTGCATGTGCGATGGTTACGTGCGTCATAATTTCTTTACTCAGTACCATGAATGACTCGTGCGACTGCTAGATTCGTGCTAACGGAGCTGACAATTACCTTCGCCATATGCCTCCGTGCATACAGCAACGATGGAGGCACTGATATATAAAGCTATAACATCACAGTGCTGTATATAAGCTCAGTGCCAGACTCCTCGTCAAAATGCTCTCCTTTCCCACAGGCTCCGTCGCCCTGCCAAGTCCGTCCAGACTGCAAGGGTGGCTCCGAGCACGGCGGCTACTATACACGTGCATGACTCCCACCAATCCACCTGCATAGAACAGTCGCTCCGAAACCCAGTCGTTCCTATGGACACAGGAGGCCCCGGCGCCATCACATGCATTTTTCGCATTGTGGATCCGCCCAAACTCGCATTAGCTGCTCGCCGACCTTTAACGCGGGCCTGGCATATGGCGAAGTCAGAATGTGGATGTCACATGCATCCATGCGCATATACCCTGCATTACACCATATATTTTCTTTTCAAGACACAACAGTTCCCACACGGAACCCCTCCTCCCGGATTTCTTAAGCGCCGTACAACTAACGTCCTCCCATTCCATTCAGCTTTTCTCAATTTGAAAGTATGCCGTGTATCTCTCGTCGATCAGGTTCCCAAGGGGTGCAATTAGGTAGTGACGATTGGACCCAGCGATAACATAGGAGCCCGCCGGGTACGCACGCCGTGCTGCCGATGCAAGACGGAATGAGCTCGCAGCACTGAACGCTGGACTATACACAGGGCGTTGTTGCAGCCGCAGTGCAGGTTGCGTTGCGTTGCACCAACCGCAGGTCTGCCGACAAAGGACTCTGGCGGTATCTGCACAGAAGCAAGCAGTGGGCGCCAGGCTGCAGTCAAAACTCGCTACACAAGGACAGCCGTTGGAGCTGTCGTGCAAGTAGAGGACGGTTAGAGCTATCTTAGAGCCTGACTTCACCAAAAGCTCTCTTCCACGCCACTAAGTGCTCACCGTAATGGACAATCCGCAACCAGTATGGAAACAAACGGAAATCCCTGTTACATGCCCCCAGTTCCCCACTCCACCACCCTTCAGCAAACGGATAACTTACAGGAATCCGACGTGCATGAGCTGTCACTGCCGCCTTCTTGGCACGTCTCCTTCGGCGCGTCACGACAGGATGCCGCAACATCCGATGCCTTTCCGTCAAACCCTACAGCCGTTAAGTAGTAGCCGGGCCGCGCCACTGCCTCAAACGATACCGTGTCGGGGGCCCCGTCTAGCCCGGGGCGCATCATCCACATGGCCCGATTGCAGGACGCGGCCTTCGAACCTGCAGCTCCCTGAGGCGACAATGGGCAAACAGCACGGTCTGGCAAGAGAGCTCACAGAAGGCGCTCGTCCACTGATCAACGCCAGCAAGCATGAGGTGACAACACGCCGTGCCGTTCACATGAAAGATACCGGCCCCGTGGTCAAGCGTAATGGAAAGAACTGTTGACGCACTTTACGTACAGCCCCTCGACTACGGCGAGTGCGTTCTTCCAACGGGTGCAGGGCTTACTAGTACCGGGCTTAATCCAATTAGTCCTAAAGGGCGATGTACACAGTTTCACTCGTGGAACAGTACACATAATAACTACAGGGCAGCCTTCCTATTCCCCGCAGCCGGCCAGCATACCGGCTGCAGCACGATGACATCTGAATGGTCGTACGCGATGTAGTGGTTGGGGTAGGCCATGGCCTCCAGGCTCAGTTGTTGCCCGGCGTCGTGCTGACCTAGCCGCATCAGCGACCGGAGCGACGTGAAGGCGTCGGACAGGGCGCCGTGGCTACACAGGCGGTAATCGCATCGGCATTGGCGGTTTTACTGAGGTTTCAGCGAAGCAGGGGTGGCGGCGCTGCATGCTGAGCCCATGACACCGGATACCCAGGCTTATCCATGCACCACATGGAGATGAAAATATGAAGGGCTCGCAGGATACTTCGAACTGCCCGTCCATGACACCTGATGCCGGCCTCCGCAACCACACCAACAGCTCTCGCTACGTGCTCGTGATTCTCAGGCTTTCCAGGGGAACACGCTGTTGGTCGCACTGCAGCCTCAGATTGATACGCCTAGCTCTCCCCCTCACAGCCACACGCTGCAGGTACCCTGAACAGCCTGCCCTTCCTTGCATACAGGCCAGGCCCCTTCGCCGTTAATTTCTCTTGCCTGGGAACGTCCGTGCTGATGTCCTGTCGATGGCTTTGCCCGTGCAGCAGCGACAGCAGATTGTGGTGCTCCGAAACCGACGAAGTGAAACCGCTGTCGGTGCGGCCCCCGTGGTGGCAGCCGCGGCCCAGCCGGAATGTGGCGTCCATGGCGTCACCGCCGTCCTCCAGCGCTGACATATACAGCAGGTTGGCGTCATGGCGCACGTGCAGGCTCGCGTTCCATGCGGCCTAGGCGCAGGGTGCAATGCCGGCGGCTATACATCGTAAACATGAAAAGGAACAACATCCACCGCTAAGATTACAACGCTGTATCGCTGTGTCGCGAATATCCTGTGTTAAGCGGCATTCCGGTGAACTAACGTCCACGTGCAAGGTAGTAGAAGGCTGCATGTCAAGGACGCCCATGTGCCGTTCGCGTTTTTGTCCTAGACACCTAGGCAGCAGTCCTAGTCAGTCGGCGCTGATGCAGGCGGCAGCCAGCTCAGAGTGAACCGTCCGGAGGCTGCCTTCACACACCCTTACCCCTCCTGCAATCGCGAGAAAACAATGTTCGTGACTGCGGGGTTTCTTTCTCAACGGCCCACCTGCAGTGAGAGCAGCTCATCGGCCTCCTCGGGCAGGTACACCCGGCCACCCAGGTTGACAGGGGAGCCCGTGCTGGTGCCCAACGAGGCCGAGGCCGCAGCAGCGGAGGAGCTGCCGGGAAGGCGGAGCAGCCGGTCGTTATGGGTAATGCCGGCCATGACGAAGGGGCCCATCATGACAGCCTGCGGTTGCGTGTTGGGAAGTCAACATCACAAAAACGTCGAAACGCAGATGTGTTTAGATGTGCGTGCTGACAAAGGAACGCTAGGCCCAGGCAGGAGCGCAGCGCAAACACTCTGATAGGAGTGTGTGCCCCCGCGGGGGGCCTAATGAGGAAGGCCGGTGGCGCCTTGGCAGCGGAGAGGCTATGTCCCACCGGCAAAAGGGATGGCTGGAAGCCAACGTGGCGAGCAAACTGGCGGGACCCCACTCATGCAGTAGCTGGGTCTTGCTGGCGTTCGTTTCACCGAGACCGCTCAGCTGCAATTCTATCGCAATGGCATCAATGAGTCGGCAGCAGCAGCAGCAGCAACAGCAGCGACAGCAGCGCGCATCCGCGTACCTGCAGTCCGCTGTACTGAGGCCGGTTCTCTGGCAGGGGCTTCAGCCACCAGCGCATGGGCAGGCGCAGGGACACGACGTCGCCCGTTGACCACTGCCTGTCCGGGAGGGGCCGGTGGAATAATGGCGGGTTGCACGCCGTCACGCCCCATACTCCGCACCGCTATGTGTGTCCACAAAGATTTACGCACGTCATCACAAAACTGCTCCTAGATGCCCCCATAACATCACAGAACTGAACTAAATGCATCATAGACAGCGGAGTAAGCTTGGGGATGCAAAAGGTACCAGGTTGCGTAACCAACATCATGGATGGATTGTCGAATTGATTAATATTTCGCCCACTTCTCGTTTGGCAGACTTTCGAGGAGACGACCTGCAGCTTGTCCTTGCACACCGAACAGAAGGGCGACTCACCTGGTGACCTGACAGTAGCTGCCCGGGACGGGCGCGCCAGGGCAGGAAGTCCAGGACTGGCCGTTCACGCCGATGCTGATGCCGCGGCCGCGACCGGCGGTCCCACTGGCCGCCTCCCTAGCCGCCCACTCCGGCACCCGCACCATGAGCGTGAACATAGCCGATAGCTGCGAGCCGGCAGCAGCTGCACTTAACGGGTCGAAGCGAATCTGCGCCGTGGCAGCAGGGCCTGTTGCGCAGGGCAGGGCAGGGCAAGGTCAGAACGACCATTAAGCTTCCCAAAGCGCATGAAAGACGCCAAGAGTCCCTGAAGCTTAAATAGCAGAACAGATCAAGATATGATACTCCCGTGCGTGCCGAATTCCTGTGCACCCTTCACGGAGTTGCGCTCGGTGGATGGGCACGGCCACATGAGCCCATGGGCATGCTGGGTGCAAGTGGCCTGATTGTTAAGCAAGAGAGCCTAATGTTGCCGCCTTCTTCGGTCCGTCAACATCGTCAGTCCAACCCCCGATAATGCCTGGGATCCATGCCACGGGTCCACGGGCATTGAAGGGCAGAGGTAGCTGCAGGGAGTGCCGCCGCTGGCGGGGCACCGAAATCCCCCCTGAATCGGGGCTAAGCATAGTACATGACGCCCGAAAAGAAACCAAAACACTTAGGACGAACAAAAAACGTAGACTGGATCTCGTTCCTCACGCGCTTTGGTGCGATGCTGTTACCTGGTGCGAACATATCGGCTTCAGTGGTTATTCGCAGCCCCAGCTCATGCCATGTGACCTTGGACGGTACCAGCTGGTTGATGTACAGCCGGGGCGGCAGCTTGGGGGCGGAGGGGTCGCTGGGTCCGCCCTGCTGTGGGTTCATGTCCCTGCGGGCCGTGGGCAGACACAAGGCGTGTCCCAGGCAGCCTCAGCAGCTGTAACGCACGGAGGTGGGAAGGCCACGCCCTTGTCGAGCCGCTGCTACGCAGGCTGCAAAGCTCAGCGGAGAAGCCTTACTTGAAGTAGATGGAGTCCGCGAGCTTGGCGTGGGACTCCACGACCGTGCCGTAGCAGCACCAGAATGAATGATACGGGAAGCCCCAGTGGTGGATGTTGTCGGACTTGGACTGCCCCGTGCCTAACGGCGTCAGGTAGAGGAACACGCCTGCAAGAAGATGAAGCATGGAAAGACTTCAGCACGATAAAGAGGACAGCTCAGAGACCGCTTACTGCTACTGCGCACATACAGAGCGGACACTCACGCCAGCCCCCAAGCGGTGCGGCGCAGCGCCTTCAGCGGCCCCAAACCGTCCAAGCAGCACTACATCACCGATTCACGGCAACAGCATGCAAGCCCGGACATCTCCAACATGAACTGGCCACAGCTCCACACACAGCGAAGGGGGCTAAGAGGACATCTAAACGCGCAGGAACCCCTCCACAAGCCCACCTGGCCCATGGGCGTCCGAGGCATTCCACTCGGGCTGCGGCTTCGCGAAGGCCCACCAGGGCAGCCACTGCTCGTTGTGCGGCCTTCGGTGCGGGCTCACAAGCACGCCTTCCTCACCCGCCTCCGTCTTTGCGGCCCCGGCATCGCTACCTGACGCCGAGTGTTGACCGGGGCCACTAGACAACGTGACGAGGCTCCGACGCAGGTGGTTGACGTGATGGTGGTGATGATGGTGCGCATCCTCGCCGTGGCGGTGTGGAAGCGCACGCTGCGGGTGGGTGGGTGCGCGGGTGGGTTTTGTGCAGTAGCAGCCTGCCCCAGCCTGAGCGTACCTAATCCAGCGATGTTGCGCTACACTACGTGGCAATACGGCAAGCCCATTAATGGAGTAGGCCTTCAGCCGGCATCTGATCGTTTACACGGACATGAACCCAGTCCCTGCAGTCCCTTCTTACGGCAGTAAAGTGGTAGGAAATAGCAGCAGGCCGTTTTCGCGTGGTTGCCATTTTGGAGGTTTCCTAATAAAGCAAGCATCTAGCTGTGCGATACGGCCACCAACAACCAACCAGGAGCCAAGAGCTAAGCTTGATGCGCCGGCCCGGCCCCAGCCCATTACCCTCCCTCTGGGGAACCTCTGGCCACCTCTCGGCGTTCCCTCTTACCCAATCCCTCTCCACCATTCCCACCTTTGGCCAGCCAAGCCGCCAGGCGTGTCTTTCCTATCTTATGCGCAACCCCTTAACGATCCCTACCCACCTCGGGCCAATCCTCCGGAGGCAGGCGCGCTGTGCCCAGGATGCCGTTTAGGAGCGCACGCTCATAAAAGTCGGCGTAGGCTACATTTCCTGTCCAGCGGAATAGCGACCGCGCGATCTTCAAGATGTTGTACTGGGTGCATGTCTCCTGCGTCTCCACCGCGTCTTTTTGCTGCGTGGTGAGAGGGGAGAGGGCGGGTTTACCAGATAGGCGGGCGTTTTACCCCAGGCAGCCGGTACGGTTGCAGCAGTTGCGGCTGCTGCGCGCGGACTTCTTTCCACTTTTCTCAACCTCGCCACCTCTTCCCTAACCAGACGCCATCCGGACTGCCGTGTGATCTGGGACTTCTGCAGTTCAGATTACGGTACTCCCGTCCTGTTATTTCGTTTGTCCTCCCTCCAACATCTCCCAACCTTTATAACGGAGTCAGCCATGCGGTCTGGTGCCTGCCAGAATTCGTGATCGTTGGAGCCGCCCGTCGCGAAGCTGTGGTGGGTGGTGACAATGTCGAAGAAGTTGCGCGTGGCGTTGCGCGCAGCCTCATCACCAACAGTGTCGTACGCCTCCGCGAAGCCGGCCACCTGCACAGCAGAACAATACTCAGTGCACTAATGCGGTGGATGTGTGCTCTTTTTGGCGCCCGTGATCTCCATCCCCACATGGAATCCTGCCCTTGCATGCTCCCACGCCCGCATTAGCTCCCACTTGCGGCTCGTATGACGAGAAAGTGCTGCAGCTGCTGTTGCTATGGCCTGGGAGAGCAGCCAGTTTCCATACAGCTATAGCTCTCGCGAGAGCGCGTTGTATTCCTCCTCTTTTCGAGACAGCCGATGGAACCTTAACATGTGCATATGAGTGTGTTACGCCTTGAGTTCTATATCCGTACCTTGGCCCCGTTTCCCGTTTCATGGCCGGCCCTCTCAAGGCTTTCCCTTTTCCGGCCCCCCCCCGTTATAGCCCCTGCCCGACAGTCCTGCGGATTTTGGATCCTGCGTGGAATGCGGTGCGGCACGAACCCCTTTCCCGTGAGGGCAGCTGTGGACACGGGCGGCACCTGAGCCAGGTGCGTGTTGGCATGCAGGCTTTCCAGGATGTCAAAGTTGTTGACCATGGGCTTCATGAAGAACGGCTTTTCGAACAGGCGGGCGAACTCCAAGTGCGTCGGGTCCTTCGTAATCCGGTGCATCCGGTACAAGATCTGCGCGCCGAAACCAGCACCCCGTCATTATTATTCCCAATCTAAATCCAACGACAGAAATAGCCGCAGCAGCAGCGGCAGCAGCAACGTCAATCCTGACAATGACACGAGCTAAGTGGCAATGAAGCGGAGGGTACTATGCGCATGGAGCGCACAGAAAAAAGGCCTCGGGGAGGACCATGGAAGGAGGGCCATGGAAGTCGGCGACTCAGGAGGACTTCCAGGACAGCCATTCGAAAATCTCATATCGAATACAAGTGTGATCGCACAGGACAGCTTTACAACACTGCTGCGAGCCAGCAAGCCATGTCATGCCGGTGCCATGTCCGCTGACCATGCGCGGCCCCTGCAGCTGGTACAGCGGAGGGCGGCCCAACATCAGGAGAAACGGCGCCCGCTGCGCCAGTGCACCTTGGCCTGTGGGCCGAGATGCTTCCCTCCCAACCACTTTCCCTCCTGCCCATTTCCATACCCTCCTGCCCGCTCCTCACCAAACGCATAGCACACGGCCCGGGATCCCGAAACCGGCTCCTCTCTCCCCGTTTCCCGAGGAGTAAGGACGGCCGCGTTTGACAGCGCAGCAAGTCGCACCTCGTTCATGCCCCCGAACTCGCAGTTGAGCACTCCATTCCAGTGCTCCCTGCCCTTAGAGGCGATAAGTGCCTGTGTGCGGTTCCAATGGTACGCCACCATGCGGGACGCCATGGCCAGGGCCTCCTTCTGGCCGCCCAGCTCGTAGGCATCGACAAGCCCGGCTATAATCTTGTGGATCTGGGTCGTGTCAGGGAATGGTGCGATAGGGATCTGGGTCAGAGCGAGGGAGGGACGGGGTGCAATGAGGATCTGGGTCCAGCGGCTTAGGAAGACACCACTCGGTTGGGGAGACCGAATAGCTGCGGTGTGGAGCCAAGCCAGGGAAGGCTGAATGGGTGCAAGGGGATCTGGTTCAAAAGAGGACCGACTGGGTAGGGGTTGAATCTGGGCCATACGATGCCGTGTGGCCGCAAGGTACATTCGTGGCAGGCTACGCTTTGGTGGGCGAGTGCGGCAATCGGGAACATACCGTGTAGTACGGTGCCCATACGGGCTTGAGGGCCTCAACCCGGTCAAAGAACTCTGACGGAAAGGCGGACAGGTAGCCGCCCAAGCCCAACGCCTGCTGCACTTTCCCAAGCTCGGAGACCATGAGCGCCAGACGCGTGTGAAATGCGATGTTACCTGCGATTGTTTCACTCCGACGGAGGGGCTTGAATATGGGTTGTCCCTGGGAATGAGTTTACGGGAGTATGTGCTCCTGTGGAACCCAGACATGCCGTAGGCGCACCTGTGCTCGCGTACGCCAGCGAAAGGGCTGACAAGTAATGTCCTACAAAGTGACCCCGCAGCTCGCATCCTGGATCTTCCCACGACGCGATGTAGGGTTGTCCCGGCGTTGGTAACCCAGCTGTTTTTCGGAAGGACCACAACAGCCGGTCCGGGTCAAGCATCTCTAGTAAGTACTTTGCATTTAAGCGCTCGTATCGTATCTGGTGCGATGTATCTAGTAACCTCACATCTGACAGCGCAAAGGGTTCGATTTTGGCAAGCACTCCGAGGGCCAAGCCCAGGAGGCAGACCACCAGGGAGGTAGCCTGCCAACCTGCAACATGACTTGTGGTATGCATCGGAGCATGTGCCGTCGAGCTGGCGACCCGCAAAGCAATATGCATGGTACGGCCTCTGGATCCGTTTCGTCCCGCATTGTAAGAATTACCTGCGCTGGTTGAAGGGCCGTTCTACACATCGGTACCTTACAAACAAAGTAATGATTTAAGTGATTTACGCCTTTCATTATTACTTAGCTGTCGCTGACTTCCGGTTTGACGAGGCAGTCTTAATGTCTGGCCCTCTTAATCCTTTCTTGGCAGGCTATGAACAGTATGTTAAAAGATCGAATATGGACCGTAACCGGGCAGGCATGTCTGTCATCTTTATTTTCTGGGCGCCCGGGATGAGAATTTTGTCACATCCTTACAACCATCTCGTCCACACGCAGACCCTCAACCGAGCTCCACGCAGCCTTCGCAACCACAGTTAATCAGCTCGGTGCCTAGCAGAACGCCTGCCTTAATAACCAGGACGAGTGCGCCTGCACCATCTGAGCACGCACATGCGGCTGTGCAGTTGCAGCCAAGTACAAATGTCGATGGCAACAGCATCGACATCATACTTCCGATGTTGTCCGCTGGTCCGAACAGTCAGCCTATAATCTCAGACGGGTTAAGTGCAGCTGGCCCTAGCACACGCCCGCAAACACCGACCACTCTCAACATCCTTGCGCGACCCTCTGGCGGCGCCATGGGCCAACCGGAGCCCCCAGCTGTTGAAATTACAATAAGCACCGAGCCCGTAAGCCATGCAATTCAGCCGCAGCCAGGCCTGCGAACGGAACCAACCGTGACCCGGTATCTTTCCGCATCCCCTCAGGAGGAGGTGCAGCCTTACGTGTCGCATCTTCAGGGTCTGACCGTGCAGCAGATGCTGGACCTGGACATCGACTCCCTTGTGGTGAAAATCGACGAGCACCATAGCCAGGCGAAGAAGGCTGTGCTGGTGTGTGCATAATCCTAAGTGGGGACATGTGGTGCCCTGCCACAGCATTCAGACTGTGGGTAGTATGTCTGTGTCGCAACGGTTCAATCAGCTTCAAGCCGGGAAGACTTACTGGCATCCAAAGGGGTATGCCGTGAAGGGAATGCATCGTGTGTGCTGCTGATCCCAAATGAATGCTGCTTTCCCCCTTGCTAGGTCTCTCCACTCCTTGTGCGCGTGTGTCTTGTGCGCAGCACGAAGGTGCCGGGCACGCAACTCGCTGGATATGCACTTACGTACCTCTTGTACGCAGGACCACGTCATGGAGACGAAGGCGCGCTTGATCCAGGCCAAGAACGACGCTGTCGAAGAGGAAAAGTGTAGAGGCGCTGCCACGCTCGCTATCAAGGAGGTAAATGGGATGCAATACACACTGAAGAGCCAGACCATTTGAACTGACATGAAGCCGCCGTACGGCAAGAGGGTATGTGGCTTGCTTGGGTAGAGTTCGTCGGTTGTCTACCAGACAGGAATATGGAACAGTTGCAATGCTGCGGGGGTTACTCGTGGTCTGCTATTGCTAACGCTGCGTCGGCGGTGGCGTTGCTCCGCACCGCACAGGAGGAGATGAACCTCATGAAGACTGAGCTGGACCTGATGCGAATCAAGGCGCAGCGGCTCTGGGATCTTGTCGGCAGGTGCGTGTGGTGTAGGGTATTATTGAGGCGGCCCTCTTTTTAAACAGGCTTTGCACATGCAGCTGCCGCTGGAAACATGCTGGGATGCCACAAACAATCGCTCTCAGGTGCACCCAAGGAGGAAGTGGATAACTAAGGATGGCGGACGGGTAACCTTGCCCCGCGGTCCACAGGGCCTGTGCGGCTTACGGCAACGCCAAGGAGCGGCGCCGCACCAGCTTGGTACAGTTCCAGGTCTTCTGTGCGTGGCACCAGCAGGCCATGCTGCTGGCGCGGCGGCGGCGGCTGCTGGCGCGAGCGGAGCGGTGGAACATCGACGTGCACCTCAAGGGGAATGTGTTCCGTGCATGGTTCCGGGAGGCAATGCGTGCACACCGCGTCACCGTTAACAATCGCTACATCCAGGAGGTGGAAAACGCGAAACGCATGATCCATGAACACTATCAGCGTCAGATAGTGGATATGGAGTGAGTGGAGGGAGGGTTGGGCCTAGAAGGGGAACGGGTGCTGCCCGGCGATGCAGAAGCAATGGCTCCTGGTGCAATGGCCTCCCGTTCGGCAGCATGCGTCTGTTGCACGACCCGCTTCCTTCTGGGTGACCCCATCCCGCAGGAGCATGCTGGCAGATGCCCACAAGCAGCTCGAACGGGAGATGGAGATGCGGAGCCGCCTCGAGGAGGACATGAAGCGTGCGTTTATGCGTGGTGAGGCAGAGCGAGTCCTAGTCCCTTTGCTAACGCTCTCAATGCACAAGCAGCCTGGCCATTGAGACAGACACGTCAATTCGAGGCATACCGACGATACGCTTGCTGTTTCCAGGTGTTTGTGCCCTTAACATCGAGGCCATGAACATGATGAAGCGGGGTGCAGCTGCTGGTGGGCCGAACCTGGCAAGCTCTGCCGCGCCGCAAACGATGGAGCAACAGCCAGTTCCCGAGCCAGCGGCAGGTGCGTCGGCCCATGAAAATTTTGTAACGTAACCAAGCGCCTTGTGCGCCTGGACAACACGCCGGTGCATAGCAACGTGCTTAAAGCTCCGGTCTTTTGTTTACTTTCTCAACTGAACTACAGGTGGCTCCACGGCGTCCAGCGCTTCCCCGTTCGCCTCCCAGGCGCCTACAGTTCCGGTGAGTTCGGATCCAGGCAAGGCGGAACTCCGTGGGTCGATCACCTTTTCGCCATCGCAACTGGCAGCTGTACAAGGGAACCTTAGCGGCGCTGGCGGCGGGACGTCTTCGTCTGGGCAGGCGGCCGCGATGACAAGTAGCTCGGCAGTCAGACCATCCGGCAGCGGAGCCTCCACCGTCCCCACGGTCAGCACGGCGCTTACCGGCTGCAGCACCCGGCCTGGCAGCAGCTATGGCCCGACCACAAGCGGAGTGGCGACAAATGTCGGCGGCAGTAACCAGCTGCTGGGCAGGGCGGGCGCAGGGCTCCAGCAAGCTAGCCCTGCTGTTGCAGGCCCAGGGCCGGCAAGTTCTGGTGGAGGGCCGGAGAGCGGTCCCGCAATCCGGGAGACAGCGCAAACATTTTACCAACGGCCGCAGGTTATCGTGACACGTGGGCCCGGAGTCGGTTTGGCAGCGGCTAACACGGAGGTGCCCCGTCCCCGGGCAAACGCACCCCTGCCGACGGTCAGAATGCTATGACGGTCAGAATGCTATGATGGGCCTCGGATTTGTATGAAACTGGTTCAGAGGCTCTGGAAAAAACGAGCTGCGTCTGAAGGCATTGAGGGTGTCGAACTTTCAGACAAATTCAGGTCGGGCACTAAGGTCCTTCGTTAGCCAAAGCGCATTTGTCGATGAACTGCACATGAGGTAAATTAAGTCAACAATGGTGGCCTGAGGGCTCAAGGAAAGCGTTGCAAGTTTTTGCTCCCTTTCGGTAATGCAGCCACGGTGCTCCTGGCTTGACCCCGTGGGAGCAAGCTCCGTCCTCGCCCATGTTAGCGGCTTTGGCATTGAAGAGTCCGGCAACCTAGGTGTTTGTTCATTATGGATCTGTCATGCTGTGTCACACGCGCACATTGGTCACTGTTACAAGCTTATGGTGCGGAACGTATGGCCTGGGCAGCCCATGGGGATATATTGTCCGGTTCACCCTTCTTAAGACGGGTGCCTTGCATCGTTACAGCATTCCTGTGCGGCCTTCACTGTTCCATTGGAAATCGCCAGCGGCATCGTGGCTCCAATGCCATTCACACGCTGCACCCTCAGCACCCGGCTTCAAAGATTTCAGTCATTTTCCTAGCCAAGCACCCTGAGATGCCCGGCAAGATCAATCGTCATCGCTGCTGCTCTGGGTGGCCAATACGACGAACCGTATCATCAACTTTGCCTGCTTCATGGTCCTTCCCTAGGCTTTTAGGCGTGGGACTGTCACCAAGCGGCCGTGTTCCTGCCGCCGCTTGCGTCTCGCCAGGCGCCTCAGTGGGCTTCGCCTCCGCATTCGCATCGATGGGCGCGCCGTACAGTATCTTCTGTAGGATCTGCATTGCATGTTGAGCACATGTACTCCTAGCTTCTGTGCTTAGCACCGGCAAAAAAGCATTTGCACATATCAACACAGCACAGCAAAGAATGTATATCAACGCCAGCCTTCTCGCATGCGTCCATGGTGTAAGAAAGGATATCCCGCACACGTCAGATACTACCTACCCCGGTCCTTTTTTCCCGATATCGCTCATTACCTTCAGTCCTTGCGTCCCGGGCGCCTGACAATCCGCCCACTGCCAATAACCAGCAGCTCACCTCTTTCTGTAGTAAGTGCCCGTGTGGCACGGAAATATAATACTGGCGATCGCCTGCCACCTCCACGGGCATAAGTGCCTGCCGCGCCTGCGACCGCACTTCAGCCACGCTGCGGTTTCGCCAAGGTGCTACAACTTGTTCAAGGGGAACATCGTTATCCTGCCAGGTTTAGGCAAGCCGCAAACCATACGGCATATTGAGGAGGGCGTGACCGCACAGCAAGCCGCATCACGCAGGAAAACACACGGCAGCCTTTAATACTCTGCATGGCAATAGGCGGGCTTTGTTCCGGTTTTGTTCCGGCCCCATCCCTTGCCCAGCGACGCGAGGTCTGCTCGGCTTTTCGAACCTCGCACCAGGGACAGGCACACCGCACCTCTCGGTTGCCCCAGAAGTCCAGTACGCTAAATCGCACAACACGCCGCTCTGGGAGCAGGAGAGACATCTCGCCAACGTAACGGCCACTGTAGTACCAGATGCAGTACGACGTGACAACGCAGCCAACCGCCAATGCTCCGACAGCCGCAAGGTCCATCGGGTTCGGGTTGGACTGTGCGGAACGAATGGGTGTTCAACGGTCGTGCGATTAACGCGAAACAAGGAACGATTAATGTACATGTGCGAAAGTTTTAATGATTTGGGCCGTAACATGGATTGGCGAGGATGAAATTTGGGATGCGGGTGGACAAAGGGAAGAAATAACTATGTCTGGGCAGTGTGTGTGTGTGTGTGTGTGTTATACATGGCTTGGGGTGCGTGACCCCATACCTGTAGAACTACACATACGAGCCGGAAGCCCAAGGGCAAGACCTGAACGCCTAAAAGCCACGAAAATGTCTGGGAATTGTCTAGGTGGATGGATGGATTGTCGGTTCGTGCGTGAAATAGCCATGTTGTTATGGGATGCGTTTATTACGGGATGGGGTCGCGTGTGTCTGTGTGCTTGCCAACAGATAGTACAACGATAAGGGCCGTCCCTGGGGAGGAGGCGGGCAATCCGGATGAAGAGGGCGCAGGACCACCTCTCATCCATAGGAAATCCAATCACAAAGGTAAAAAAACAGTTTTGAGGACAGATTTATCGAAGCGCACCATCAGGATCGTAATATGCTCTTTAGAAGCATGCATATCGGTCCGCGCTTGCCGCGAGGCTGCCTGAGGTTGGTGCCTTGGTCTTCCGGCGTACCTTGCCAAGGCCTCACCGTGGTTAGGACAACCGACGCGAACACAGCACAGGCTAGGAAGCCCATAAGTTGGAACACCTTGGCACGGACGATGAAGCGGAACAGCAGCATGCCACGTCCCCGGTAGAGCACCAGCTTCTGCACAGTGGGACGCGGCTTCCGTGGCGCGAAGGGGTTGCTGGGCGTCTGCAGCTTCAGACCTAGGAAGCGGACGTTTAGGAGCAAGCAACCCAGTTAGAGACCGTTTCAATTTAAGGGGCAAAGTTAGGTTGCCACACAGGGAAATAAGGCAGATAGGCACAGTTTCGCCGTCTAGCAGGTTGAACGAGCAGGGGTGGTACAGGATGAACACAAGCTTACCCGCAAGCGGCGATGCGTTGCTTGACAACGACTGTCGATTGCTTATGCTGTTGATTACGTCCAGACCAATTAAGCTACTGATAGCGCCGGGGGCCAGCAATCGTGGCAATCCCGAGGGCCGGAAACCAGGGTTCCGGCCGTGCAGACATGATGTCCGACTGCAGTTATTTATATCATTATGATCGACCATATAATCATCTCCTCGTTCTTGCAGCGCATGGCTCGCCGTGCTTGCACATCTTCCGAGGAAGCGACGCGAAATAGTTAAAAGATTGGCAACACCTTTGGATCTTTCCATGTTGAATCTATATCCATATTATATAAACACTGACTCTTTGTAGGAGCTTGGGGACCGAAACACAAAGCGGCGAAAAGGTGAAAGTTTTGCCGTACATTAACCACTTTCGTTGAACCTCAACTTGCCAGCTTACACCCAGCATACCAATTCATAAGCCATTTTGTACATGCAGACGGCGGCTATTATGGACATTGATGTCGACTGGGCTGGGCGTGTTCCCGAACCGGTGCTCCTGAACATCGCGACGTGCCACTTCTCCCTTTCGGACATCAAATCCGCTTCCGAAGTTTGCAAAAGATGAAGCTTTGTGCTGCGTCTTTGCTGCCGGAATGTTGTCCTGCGGCCATCCTGTCCTGCAGCCCGCCTCCCTCGGCCACGGAGCGCTACCCGCCACACCTCTTCTGCCGCCGCAGCACCATCTGCCTGCGTCCCATATCACAAGCAAGTGCAAGCTCCATTGATGCCAATGACCACGACACCTTTGCCTCCGTACTAGCTTACTATACGCTAGAGCTATGCCACGTTCACTACACCGTCGAAACCTTTCACGCGCTCCGCACAAGACGGGATGGCATGCAGCGGCCCCTGCAAGCCACGCGTCGCGCCCGCCAGGCCGCGATTAACGGGCACCTTCATCTTAGTAATAACAATTACGTCATGGTTAAGCACTCCACGGATAGCCTTAATCTTGTCGAACTTGCCTGCCGAGGAGCCATGAACGTTAAAAACAGGAAACGGAAGCCCGGCATGCTCCATAATTAGGCCTCAGCTCTGCGGCCATTTTGCGAATGTCTGCCTTCGCCCCGACACCACTGTCTGGCTCGGTGAGCGCCGTAAGGTAAAGGTGTGGGGTAGCGGTAGAAGTCAAAGGCAGTAGCATTTCCCGCAAGTGTACTGGGCTGGATTAGATTCAATATGGTTAGGGAAACGGAAAGCAGGTTCAAGGAAACATCAAACGAAAAGGAAGAGGAGTATGGTCCTACCCTTTGGTGCACGTACGAACCGAATGTACAAAATGTTCATCTTTACATCTGGACAAAATGAAGCTGTTTGCCCCCGATGTGCGAATGCGGTGTTTTGCAACCCAAGTCCGAGCAATTCTGTTGTATGGCTGCCAGGCGTGGGGCCCTTTTGCGCTGGCAGAGGTCGTGGACAGGGCGGGAAGGCGGCGGGATAAAGCCAACCTTGCGGAGGGCATGTTCGAAGCCTGTTTGAAGGATAGTGCAGTCCAGCTGCAGATTTTATTCATGAGGCAGGTAGTGGGGACGGCACGGCCATCCCACAGGCTGTTGTACGCGGAGCTGGCTGAACTCCCCTTACAATATTACATGGTGAAGCAGATTCTCCGTTTCTGGAACCGCCTTCAAAAGCAAGTGGGATCCATTGCTCATGCAGTTTTACGGCAGGAGATAACCGATGCCCTGACCAACCCGGAATGGGAGGGTTGGGGAATCTCAATGTTACGACTGTTTTCCTTCTTGGAGTGCAACATTTGGAGCGGAATACCGCAAGAAGTCGTGGGGGTAAAGGAGCGTGTTGACTGGTTGTTGAGCAGACCTCTACCAGAAGGAGCAATAATAACGGCACTAAGAGAGCGTTTGATGAGCGGCTGGGACCATACGCGTCTGACTGTCTTGCCAGAGGAGTACCCATCAGATGGGAAGCAACCGGGAGTGCAAATGGCGAAGTATAAGCACTGGATGGGGCTGCCCTTTTCGGGAGCCGCAGCCGTCATGTGGCCAGCACATGCTAAGGTTTTCATTCCTCGTTTAGCACATCGTAAGCTAATGCAGTTTCGTTTATGTTGCTGGGCTTTGGAGGCGAACAGAGCACGAAGGGGCAAGTACCATGTCCCCAGGGGGCAGCGGTTTTGCCACTGTTGTAGTCCTAATAGCCGAATTGAGGATGAAAAACACATGTTATTGGAATGCCCAGCCTATAATGATATTCGTGCTGAAGAGGGATTCGATCATCAACAGAGTATGTTGGAGGCCATGCAATGGGAACCCGCACGTCTGGCGAGGATGTTGGAACGTATATGGGCTCACCGAAACTCAATTACCCCCTTTGGACGCTAGTCTGGGCTGATGTGCGGTGTTTTTCCTTTTCTCCGTGGCTTTTAGGCGTTGTAGTATTGCCCTTGGGCCTTCGGCTCGTATGGGTAGTCTTACAGGTATGGGGTCACGCACCCCCAACCATGTAACACACACACACACACATCCCATATCGACATGTTATTGTGTCACCCATGACCATTAGCCTGGCAGCGACGGCACCCTCATCCTTCTCATCCATGCCAACTACTGCAAATTCAGCGGCTTTCTAGTGTTCAGCACCCACTAAAAGGTGCACTTGGCCATCATACCGACTTCTCAAACGCAGAGTGCATCACCGATTCACTAAGCCACATGATGACACAGCTCCCGAATAGCTGCTTCAAGAAATACCCCAAAATCATTGATACTTATGGTGAGCGGGTGTACGACAACCATTATTATTACATGTTGGTTCCCCGCGCACCCAACTGAAAAACTACCATGCTGCCCTCCATCGCTCCCCCGGGTGGGTGCTATATGCCCTCATACAGCTGCCGTACATCCTGACCATTCCGGCGGACGCCCAGCAGATGGCCATGGAAACGACGGTCCAAAGTTACAAACATCCTTATGTATATGATAAATAAGACCCTAATTAACAATGCCCCAGCTTGCACTCCTTGGGGCATTAGTGAAAGGGATACGACCGTCACGTTCAACACGTCGTTCCATCCCTTTGTCGGCTCTGAATGGCACAATGAAACATCAAACGAAAAGAAAGAGGAGTATCACCCTACCCTTTGGTGCACTTATGAACTGAATGTACAAAATGTCCTTCTTACATCCCATATCGACATGTTATTGTTTAAGATATGGCAGAATAGCTTCAACAGTGACCACTACTCTGGCAGTGACCCCAGTTCAACAGAACTTGTAAATTGGAGGGACGTAGGTTGGATAGTAGCCAGGATAACGGTCAGGGACAGGCTCCGGGTGTGTCTGTATCCATGAGCGGATGAGCTCAAACGCTGTGGATAAACGCTCCACCGGAGGCAGGAAGGGAATGATCGAGTCCAGCTGCTCCTTCAGGCCCGGAACGGGGCGCAGTTGGTGCAGTTCTCGCATCCACACCTGTTCCTCCTCCGGAATCTGCTCCAGCTCTAACAACAAAAGCGCGCGTTTCTCATTTGCCTGGAGGTGCTGCACCTGCAGGTAGTAGGCCTGCATGATGCAGGGGGAAATGGAATATGAGCTGCCCCTAACCATGTACTCCGTACATGCCCTTAGCAATACACTCCTCCATACAAGTCAGAGCACCAGGGCGACACTGCTGGCCTATCCAGCCAAAGTGCACGAAAAGCATGCAGCGTCCTGGGCAAGCTTGGAACCTTATAGGAAGTATAAAGCATTTTTGGGTTATGTAGTGACTGGGCAGAATCCCCCACCTGTGTTGGGCCCAGCCCAGCCCACGTGATGAGCCGCTTTCCACGAATGGTGTACACATCATGTGTGGTGCCATCCGTCACATCCAGCATAACTGGACATGGCCCATAGGCGTTAGCAGCCAGCAGTTTCATGACTGCCTGGGCCTTAGCCGATGGGTTCTGCAGATTGTCATCCAAACCAGATGTGCATGTTAGGTGGGTAAAGCGACTCCACACTTCTGGCTTGAACACATACGTACCATGTCCTCACCCAACATATTCAGCAGCTGTGATACATCACTAACTAATCAGAATACATGTAAATACCTGTGGTGGCCTCTTGTGCTCGTATATGATACGGCTCTGTTCCAGGGAACTGAAGCCCATCAGGCCATATGGTGCTATACAGCCGTCGAAAATGCCACGATAGGTTTGGCCAACACAGCAGATTGACAGGGAATAAGACGTGCAATTGTGCACAAACATTTGGAAGCCGCCTTTCACATTAAATTTAACCCCCAGGCGCTCCAGCTGCTCCTGGTGGTGCTGCATTAGCCGCGGTGTAGCTTCATCCTCAGACCCATGTGGTGTAAAGTCGAATTCATCGCAGTCGGCCATGCCCGCGGGAACCTGCAGTTCCTCATTTGCCACAATCCTGCCATTGCACTGCCTGATGCCGATGGTGTGCAAAACCAGCTCAGCCTCCCTCAAGGACACTGATGAGAAGGACTTGGGTTTGTCAACGCAAGTCGCATCCGCATCTGTGTCGAGGGAAGGAACCAGTAAACCCCTAATTGGCTTGGCTGGGTAACCCCAAGAGTTTGGCGTCCGTGAGCTCTTTCTGTGTTCACAAGGCCACATGCCAAGCGACAACCGACAACATGTGAATGTGACTGGATGAGTCGCCAAGCGGTGTAAACCCGACGAGGCGCATGGCCAACCCTTCCGTTTATGCCCGACCCGGATACAAGATAACTACCGTAACACTTATGCTATGTCACACGGCCAGCACAGTAAGATGTTAGGAAGGCAGGTGGTGGACTATGGAAGCAGCTACAAGTTGCGTGGTGCAACGTCTGCGCCAAGGCCGCAGTCATATGAGCTGATACAACTCACCTTTGCGAAGCAAGATTAGCTTTTCCTCGCGTAGTTGTTCCTTCTCCTTACGCAGCTGCTCCTCCTTCTTACGCAGCTGTTCCTTCTCCTTTCGCAGGAAATCTAATGAACCCTTATCTGTACAAGTCGCTATCGCTGCACCAACGGCCTGTATTTCATCCGCAACTTTGACGATTTCCTCTTCAACAGCCGCTATGGGGTCCATGTCGCATGCCAAACTTGCCACACGCTATGCCATGCGCGATAACGGATTTCGTGGCGCGGCACTGCTGAAGACTGCGATGGAAAAGTTTTCAATTCGTTTCTGTGAGCACGGCGCCTACTTGGAGCCTCCTGGAGCGCCTCCTGGAGCGGTCCAACCTACGTGTTAATCGGCAATTCAACATCTCGATACCAATTGAAAGGGAACCAGGCCTCTTCTAACAACTGGGAAGCTTAAGCTGACTTTACTGACCGATGTACTTACATATGCTCAGAGGATCGGAACTTCAATCTCAACTTAGACTTACAATGCTTACAATTTGGTCCGGTTAAATAGTCATGTTAGCGCGCCATAACCTCACACGTAGTACACACAAGTTCCAGCTCCACTAGCTCCGAAGTTACGACATGGTCTCAGAAGCGCGCGCTAACGAACTTCAAAACATTACAACTGTCAATGCCCCCGCCTTTCTTACGTTCGCTAGTCATTTTCATCGTCGTACAAGCACCCGTAGGGAGAAACTCGCTAGTCATTTTCATCCGTGTCGTACAGGCACCCCTAGGGAGAGTCTCGCTAGTCATTTTCGAACTGCAAATCCGTAATCTCTGTCGTAAAAGGCACTTGTTGGAGATTCTCCCTAGTCATTTTCGCGCGCTTCGGTATTAGTCGTACGAAGACGCCGAATGTTTTACTATGCCTTCTACCGGCTTTGCAAGTGAACAAAGTCTCTATCAGAATACTGAATTGCCGAAATTGACGCTTACGTGCTGTCCGATCAGCAGTTCATCTTTATTAGCCATGTCTCATTTCACGACTTCGTTTGCAGCAGTTTACGAGCGCTCATCATCCTTGCTGCCGGTGAGATCGGGTTCTACTGCGCATACGTTCTCATCTGTGCTCCTCGTTCACCATGCTTACCTGCATGCGATACCCTCTATAGTTGATGGCATTCATTAATGTAAAATAATTTATGTATGCTCTTGAAATTTTTGACAAACAGCTCAAGGAGCTCTGTCAGCGAGTACGCAACGTCATTAGCCGGTGCAACATACTCGGTTGCTCGATCATGAACGGAGAAAACATCCAACATCATTTGCAGCGCTGGGCGCTGCTATCCTTCTTATTGGGTTGCTACTACTGCTCATGATAATACCTGGTGAGTAATAAAATGACTGGGGTGTTCAAATTATATCATACGTAGCTTTCGTAACGTACAAACGCATTGTTCCAATAACTGATCGCGAACCGCGAACTAATTTACAGCAGTCTCTGGTAGTAAGAACCATTGTATATGTTCTCTTACATACCGTGCCCTTCGATTGGTCGCTTGTCCGTGCATCACAGCTGCCTAATAACCGAAATAAACGCCTCTTACTTATGGCATCGTCTCAACAGGTACATCTGCCACCAATGAAAACGAGCAGCGGAAACGCAGGCGTGTGGACGACTTTACGGTCAACATGTACCCTGAAATGCTGGCTATAGACACTACCCCCACACAGCAACAAATTTCTGCGGCCGCTACAATTGCCCAGCCACAGCAACAAATGGTTCACCCGTTCACGACAACCACCACGCCACTACAGAACCAGCAGTCACAGGGTATCGCTGGCGCAGCTGCTTTACCATTTCATGAAACACAGCAGCATGATATGATTTGACACCTCATGCCCTGCCAGCTCAAACTGGATGGCTCATGCAGCCAGCACCTGTCGGCGCTTTGCACCAACGATTCCTACCCTTACCGAACGCCAACAACCAACAGCAGTCGACACCAGCAAATGCGCAGCCGACGCTTCCACAATCTCCTTCCGGAGCGATTCCAACACCACCACCACCACAAGCTGCGCTGGATTACGTTGCTGAGCTGTTAAGCTCTGGCATAAACCCGGTAAGCCTGTGACTGATTAATCACTTACATTTAGAAGTATCATGGACTACTTAACTGAACAATACCAAATAAATGCAAAATTAACAATGTTTGTCATAGCTTTTAAATAAGCTATCATGCAATTACCGCACAAATGCGTAATGTAATACGAAATAGCACTGCAATGCATGCTACACAAGCATATTCATATATTGCACAATCCCACCAATTCAACATTTACCCTTGTTCTGCTTTTTAAAATGCTGTGCAGCTCGCGTTCTTCAGCACTGCCCTAGCAACATTGCAGCCGCAACTGCTACAAACGCTGGCGACGCCAAATACTCTTTCTGGAATGGCAAGTCCAGCACAGCTCCCGTCCACAACTGCTGCTGCATGGATTGACGCACTCAATGTGATCAGGGTAGGGCCACCAACCGAGCCCATCCTGGCACTTTTGCAGACTCGTGTGTCTTCCCAAAATTTCGTTGCAACCAAAAAATCATGGCACATAGCTGGAACAAACGAAGAAATCAACAAGTATATCCAAGATATGGCACACACCCACTTTCAACAACAACTGCAGCATATTACAGCTGCCGACAAGCTTCACAAAGGAAATAGGTATGCGCCCGATGACGTAGCTTATCTGTACAAAGCAATGCAAGACCAAGGCGTGCTCCTAGATCACCTTTACCTCGCTCCCGGGATGACGGTCATGGTTACCAAGAACCTGTCGGCCTCAAAAATCGAAAACGGTGCTTTAGCTATCGTGCAAGAAATCACCGAATCCATGCTGTCACTCCAGCTTTTGGACTCACAAACCATTCGCCTGCCAAGGATATGCGAGGTCAATTACAAGAATGGGGCTGAGCTTGAACGCAAAATGTTCCCGGTCGTGCCTGCTTTTGCAAGAACTGTACACAAGGTGCAGGGCGATACCATAACGGATTCCGTCATTATTGACTTAACAAACATGAACTGACTAGGGCAAGCATATGTAGCACTGTTGCGAGTTGTGGATATTGAGCAGCTGCATATCCTCCCCATCGACATCCAATTGACACCAAACATGTACAAGGCACATGTACCCCCTTAAGCACCATGATTCATTTTACTGTTAGGCTGCTTACGTAGTTCCTGCTACTGTCTTACTGCCTGTCACAGTCTTTGCATTACTATGACCTTAGACACCTATCCCACGTCCCACCTGCAATGTCATCAACCGTCACAACTTTAACAGCAGCTGCGAGTCATCAGTCCCAGGCTCAAGCCATGGGTTTATCCGTCCAGCAGTACGAAGGCCTTGGTTTTCACACTCCGCCCACAACCATAACAACACGCGCCACACGACGCCCTGACGGCGAACGAACCCCAAAACAAGAAGCATTCCTTAATGATATGTCAATCATGCCATGTGACTGGCCTACCACAATCGGAGAATGCTCAAGACTCCTAAGCAGCAGGACAGCAGACTATGAAGACTTCAAGAAAAATACAATGAAAAACCTGCATCAGGCAGGCAACGTGCAGCTCTCCACTCACGAGGATTATCCATGGACGAAATTGACAAGCTTACTAAAAGCCAGGCCAGCAAGCTCATGGACACCCATGCGTCAGGAGAACAGGCCACAGCAGCACAGCTTGCTCGGTTGCAAAGGCTCAACGTACACCTACCGCAGCAACTTCTATCCAGGAGGGATGCGTCGGCACTCATTACACAGAACTCCGTCAAAGCACAGGCTGCGACGCTATCACAGAAGGACCTACTCTAGAAACTCACAAATCAAGCAGGTCAACAAATCACAGACGAGCATCTGGACATCATGACGCTGGCGCAAGCCTCTACACTCATCGCCGCGCTCATATCGAAGCGCAACAACAGAGGCAACAAGGCAAATGGTAAAATCAACCACTACGACGACAACCTACATGACAAGGGTGGCGGTCCATCCCAAGATGGTGCTGGTGGTGCTTCCGCATCGGCAAACGTATGACGGCGTCAGGCTGCTACGCCGCTGCAATGCTAATCGCAAGTTACACTGAATTAAGTGCCTATGAACTACGCGTGAATTTAATGATTATTTGCTCGGACGAAGGTGGGCTAGTTGCGGTAGGTTGCGGTTGTGGAACTGTTTAGCTATAGGTCAAAGCTTCACACTGGTCCCTGTTCTAATGGCCGTTATGTCTTGCATAGATGAAATGGATCAGTTTTTCTTGTTGTTCTTCGCATGGTCTGTTCGCCAGCCAGCCTGCACGTGTTATGTCGCCACACAAGGGCTTCGTCTTCAGTCCCACGCCCTCTGGTCTATTTGCTGTAGCTCAACGTTGATGTTAGTCTGCTTCCGTTTAGGTCCGCGTTCATGACTTGTCCTTGCTGGTCTTCTTATAGGGGGAGGTCCATTTCCTTGACGGTCTCCTTTGACCTGTGAATCTCGCATTACCTGTAACAGGAAATGACATGTGACTTTCGACAACAACTCAAGCGTCTGCTGCAGCACACTTGAACGAATATGCTGGTGCGACCATCCAAACAAACTGTGCCGTAAGTGACAATACCACCAAGCATACGCACCCGGGCAAAATCTCAACATCCCGCAAAATATACCAAAACATAACTTCTACGCCGCCAGGACGCTGTGCGTCCAAATTGGACAGACAGCACACACTTAATAGCCAGCCGAAATGTACGTAACAAGTACTTTACCAGCGAATATTGAAACGTGGCATTAACATCACAGACCGGAAGCACGTCCAACGAATCGTTGAATAGCATGTGCAAAAGTCCTTCTATGTCCGTGCGACGTAAAGCAAACTATTAAAAAATAATACGGAAGTAGCAGGCGGGGGCCCATAACCATTTACCCTGCCTTTACATCTACTTTACATAAGCTAGATGCAAGGTTGCAGTACGTTGCAGTACGTTGCAGTACGTAAGATGCAGGTTGCAGTACGTTGAAGATTAATCAATCTGTTACTGTTGGGTATTGGCATTTTTCTTTTTTGAGTTCTTGATTCCAGTTTGGCGGTTCATGAGCCATTTGGCTCGTCTGGACCGTACAAGCTTGAAGCTTGTAAACGTAAACGTAAACGTAAACATAAGCTAGCAACAACGATTATGATAACAGACGAGAAGAAGCTGTGCTGGCCATACGTGCATTTGTTACGACACCGGTAATTTGTTGCTTCAAAGGCAAATGCCATTTTCTGTAACATATAATGGAAGAGAGAAAAGGACTGAGAGGCCCGAAGAAAACGGGCCTTTCGAACGACACCGCAACTAACTAACGCGGGCTGCGCCGTGAACGGGCGGGCAGGCGCACGCTGAACAACAAAAACAAGATAAGCTTACCAGCTTAATGCGTGCGAAAAATGACGGCCCTGAGGTCACGGGCCGCGGCGAAAGCCAGTGTTACGCACTGGGCCTTACGCGCAACGAACACAGCATGTTGCTTCAGAGATAAATCTCTAAGGAGAAGATACCCCCTCTAGCAGTTGAAGTATTCAACCACCAAACGGCGCAACGCGCCGACCCGCAAGCGGGGCAAAGAACGCGAGAGCTGCCAGACAGGCGCACACACCCAAACGAAATAGAGCTCCCGGAGCCAAAAGCCTCAACGACCCCCAAGCGGCAACCCAGCAGCAAGGGTTGCGGACGCGCCACCTCTACGCAGGCTAAAGAGCGAACAAACCGAACGGAAAGCGCCAAACACATTCCACAAGAACTAGGTCAAACCAGCGGTCCCCAACCGCGCATAGACTGACCCACCGGCCACAGACGCGACAGATCACGCAACAGACGCTGATGGACGCCCACTGAAGGAAGGGACGGCAGACGATCGAAAATGCCAAAACATGTGCCCGCTCAGGGGTGACCAAACGGCCAACTAGGGGCCTGAACTGAAACACCGGCTGTGAAACAACGACCGCTCCACGCGCCCAGGTCACCGACAGCAGAGAAATCGGACAAGAGACCCGACACGACAAACAAGAAAGTAAAGGCCACTTCCGAGCCAACGGGCACAACGGCCAACAGCTCAAAAGTAGCCACACATCACCCGCATTAAAGGCCAACCCAAATGGAAGCCGACAGAGCTAGGGGGCATTGCAAATGCACCCAACTTCCACGAAAACGCCGCCAGCAGGGGCTGTCTCCAGCACAGGGCTCTTGATTAACCCAGCAAGTCATTACACGGACTTCACGGCACTGAAATAAAGCTGAGCAGCACGGGCTTGGATAGAGCCCTTGGCAGCCAACAGTGTGGATATGGACAGCTTATTCAGACAGCCGGATGCACGTGACATACGTTTTCACACATGTTGAAGTAGGGAAAATGTATCGCGCCCCGGCACTGTCGACGACACAAAGTTTGTAGAGCTGCGGTGCACTTTCGGGTTGTGCAGTGAGCGGCGGGGATGTAGCAGGTCTTAATGCACCAAAACAAGCGGGCAACTGTGGTGAATGCAAGTTGAGACCAGTCTTTCCTTAAAGACATGCAACGCACGCTGCATGAGGGCGCTGCGAAACACACCTGATGTAACGCAGCAAAGGCGTAACCCGAAATGCGTAGATGGGCCTTGCGTCGTTACATTGCCCCCCGCTTAGTGTAACGAGCATGAGCTGTTACATTACTCTCATTCGCCTATTCGTTATCGTTCGTCGGTGAAGTTTGGCCTTCGCCATAGGGCCTTCATCTAATCTGGTTCGCTTTGCCGTACTTCCGTCGGTGGCCGGTCGATAAGACGGCTCACCACCCATCACTCGGGGTCTTTCGGTCCCACCACACAAGTGGAATGCTTCTTAAATAGGCTTGATCATTACATTGGTATCGAGACTTCTCGATCCTAGTCTACTTCGCTTCCGCCGTCGTATCTCATGTCTGCTGCTGACCCTGTCGCGGCCATTGCCGACCGCGACAATGCTGTTGTTCAAGTCATTAATCGCGCTTCTTCTTTGTCGCTTACGGAGAAGGCGCCTACGTACCCGCGTTTCGACAAGTTGCTGGAGATGTCTCCGGATTCTCTTGAAAACCAGCAACTGACCCTGGCGCAGGGTTGGACTTTACAGAAAATAGCAATCCAAGATGAACTCCAGCGATGCGGGCTGCCAATCCAATCAGAGGACGTCGCGGTTGCTTTCATCGCGGCGCTGGAACCCCGTTGTCTTCGCTTGGCTTTACACTCGGCTGTAGTTATGCAGGGTGGATTCTTTCCGAGTTTCGAGTGGCTTGAGGATTGGTTCCTCAAGAACTGCGGCGAGAATCCTGGGGGGGCTAAGTTTTGTGAACAGTTGGGCACATCTGTTGGCGTTAGCACGTCCTGTGTGCAAGACTGCCCCGTTCCCAGTTGCGAGCCTCCGCTTCCGGCTCGTTCGTCTCGTTCGCCTGTCGCTGCTTCGCTATCGCCTACCTCGTTGGGTACGGCTTCGTTTGGTAATGCAAGTTTACTTCGTCTAAACAGACTTCGCCGTTGGTGCAACTCGCGCGTCAGGACGCTGTTGTCTTTGCTGCTCTTATTGCAGAGCCTCGTCGATCTTGTAATACTAAGACTAATTCGAGCGTTCCGATTGCCTCTGCACTTATTCCGTCGACTCGTATACTTCGCACTTCCGAATTCGAGCAGCTTCAGCGTTTGACTGGTCGGCATTTTACTTGGGATTCGTTTGCCCCTTCGCGTCGATCAGCTATGTGCCCCAAATTCAGTTCGACTCCGCACAGCTTTCTGTCTTCCAGCTGTGCCGGACATCACGTTTTCGTTCATCCGCCTCCCGCTCATGCTAGGGAGTATCTGTCGCACTACTTGAACTGCAAAAGTCTCGCACCGCAGTCAACATCAGGTGGTTTTCTGTTGCCTAAGTGGGTCGCTGATAAGTGTCGTTCTTCGTTGTCCGGCATGACTCAGCTTCGCACGTACCACGCTGGTTATCACCTGTATGATGTTGTGGCTGCGGTAGGCAGGCGTCGTTCTGCAGGTTTAACCAGTCCTGTCGAGTTCTGGTACGACCCTCCGGTATCTGCTTCTGATGCTGACGTCGCCCCCTTACCTTTCTCCGTTTCGGAAGGTTTGACTATGCAGTTTCGAGGTAAAGTGTGTCAGTCCGATGCTTCCATCCTCATCGATAGCGGAAGCATGCCTTCAGCCCTTTTAAGTGCAGGTTTTGCTCGACGCATCGGTTTGGCGGTTCAACCGTCGGACAACACACATCCCGCCCTCACCGTCACTTTGGGCGATGGACGGACTACGACTTCGGTAGGGTTTGCTGAGGTACCTATTCGTTTGCAGGGTTACAAGGCTCGGTTGCAGTGTGCTGTGCTTGATCTCGCTCCTGGTTATGACTTGGTGCTGGGTGACCCCTGGGTTACGTCTGTCGGTGCTGTGCTTACCCCGTATGCCTGCACCGCGCGTTTAACTCGCCATCCTGGTCAACCTGTACTGAAGTCTAGCCCTTTTCCTAACCTACCCCCGTTGGAAGAGCCCTGTCATGTCGGCTTTATGCAGGCCATTCGTGAAGGTTATGAGTTCCTTCTCTGCATGGTCTCTACTGTCGACTCGACCTCTTCCGCGTCTCCGCCCTCTGCTTCGCCTGAGCTGTCGTCTTTTGCTCAAAAGGTTTGCACTGTGGTTCCGGGCGACTCTCCTGCTGAGTTACGAATGCGTGCTTTGCTGTTAGATAAGGAGGGCCTGTTTCCGGACCAGTTGCCGGCTGATCTGCCGCCCGATCGTGGTTTGCCTTCCGTCATCCCGCTAGAGCCTGGTTCTCGTCCGCCTGCTCAGCGTATGTTCCGCTATTCGCAAGCTGAACGTGACGAAATGCAACGCCAGATTACGCAGCTGTTGTCGCAGGGCTTCATCGAGCCATCTTCGTCGCCCTTCGGTGCGCCTATTCTGTTCGCACGCAAAAAGGATGGTACGCTTCGTATGTGCGTTGATTATCGTCAGCTCAACCGCATCACCATCAAGAATCGATATCCGTTGCCGTCTCCTCGATAGGTTGCGTGGTGCATCTGTCTTTTCGTCGTTAGACCTTACGCAGGGTTATCACCAGTTGCTTATTCGCGAGGATGAGCGTGAGCGTACTGCTTTCCGCACCCCTTTTGGTCATTTCCAGTACAAGGTGATGCCTTTCGGTCTAACTAATGCTCCGTCTGTCTTCCAGTCTGCAATGAATTCGATTTTGCAGGACCTTCCGTTCGTTGTGGTCTACCTCGACGATATTCTCATCTTCTCGCGTACCGCTGATGAGCATGTCGACCACGTTCGTACGGTTCTGGAGCGTCTGCAGCAACATCGGTATTACTGCAAGCTCTCGAAGTGTGAGTTCTTTAAGCGTTCTGTCACTTTCTTGGGACACGTAGTTTCGCCTGAGGGTGTTCGTCCTGATCCGCGCAAAACCGCTGTCGTACAAGAGTGGCCGAAGCCTCGCAACATTTCGGAGTTACGTTCGTTTCTTGGTCTTGCCAACGAGGAGGGTCCTTGTGAAGCAGCTGCCCGCGTTTCCAAAGGCTGTATGTTGGAGGATTGTGAGGTGCGCAAGGACATGTGCCAGGAACGGATTTGGGCCAGGCTGGAGAGGCAGGCGCAGCAGCAGAAGGGAACGTGATGGTTGCATACGAGTCTTACATGGCGTTTGGCGCACGGCGCAATGTACTTGCCGTCATTCGTTGCGGGCGCGAGATTGCTAGAAGCGCAGGAAGTACAACCCGAAGAACAAGAACAGCAGCACAGGAACAGCGCGCGCACAGGACACTTCCGTCGTGTCTGTGCCGAGAAGGAGGAACAAGGGAGAAGTCCTAGAGTAAAAAGATTTTCTTGCGCGTGGAAGGCCATGCCAGAACAGTGGAAAGGATGGGTGCTTTGCACGCTGCCAACTTGCCTCCGAGCACTCGAAGAGCGGACATACGGAGAAGCGCAAGGAGCCCCCCCCTATCCTCAAACCTCACGCAATTGACCATCCCAAGCGCTGCCGTCCGTAAGGGCAGCAGCTTCCGTTCACACACGAGTTAAGGTCGGAAAAGCATGTACCGGGAATGAAGGCGTAAGGGTGATCGTGCCCTAATGAAACAGCACTGCTCAAGGTCGGGAAGCCTAACGCTGAATTCGCGCGACCCAATCCGTCAAGCGTGAGGCGTCCAGGTGCTGTGTGGGCTAGGCGAGCGTGTCTGGGGCGTCATCATCATTGTCTTGGGCTGTGACGGCGGTGGGCGTGTGGGCGCTGCCCGCGCGTTGCCGCCTCATCGCGTAGAAGACCGGGCTGGCGGAAGGCGGCCCGCACAGCACATTGTAGCCGCCCGGCCCCCGAGCCTTGAACTGCGCGATGTAGAAGGCCTCCATCCGTTGGGCCAGTGCAGGATTGGCGGTGGACATGAGGCGCGTGAGCGAGAAGTGGTCATGGAAGGGTTGGTAGCGGCTGGCGTCCTCCTCCATCCGGCTGGGTGGGTTGCGGGCATGAGCCTGGAAGCGGCGTTGAGGGTCCCGGGACTGGCCGACGTACACTCTGCCGGTGGGAGCGCACGTGATGGTATACAGTCACGTGCGGGGGGAGGCACTGGAATCTGGCTCGGCGGGGCTGCTTGCGGCTCGCTTGGCTGGCGTGGTTGTGGTCAGGAGGGCGCCCAACGCTCGCGCCTGCTGCGCGGCCGTCAGCACCGAGCGCGCGAAGTCCTGGTCCGTCTTGAGGACGGTGCCCGCGTCCATGCCGTAGTCATAAATAAGCTCTATTGCGGTATCAGCTCGCAGGCTGCCGGCAGCCGCGATCCATAGCTGCATGACCTCCGCATGCGTCGCGGTCGCACGGTCCGGCATGTCGCCTTCGTGTATTGCTGCCGTGATGTTGTACAAGTACGCTGCAGGGGCAGGGAGGGATGGAGGGTGGATGTGAGGTTGGCGGGATGTGGGGAGGGAAGTGGAGGCATGGAGGGGCGAGGCGTGACAGGAAGGGATGCCGTGGCCACATGGCCGGACAGATGGAGAGCGGGCACGGGGCACGGCAGCGGGTGCAAGCGAGGAATGGGCGGCAAGGCAGCACGACTCACTGCTGGCGGGCTTGACGTGGTGCTGCTCCAGGAACTCGTCCCTGTACTTTCGGGCCTCGGCCAGGAG